GTAGTCTTAGGTTATTTTGATATATAGTTCATTGACTGAACAAATACTAGGTAAATAATTTTTTAAATTGTGTATGAGAAGGTGTAAAAGGAAGCTTAAACTAATGTGAGGGGAGGCAGTTGACAAAGGGAGCCATAAGAAATCCTGAACATAAATGATGACTTGGGATTTGTTAGGTTCAGTGAGAAGGGAGGAGAGGTTCATTTAGTTATCTGGGGATATTAATTAAATTTATTTATTCATAACTCATATTTGTATTGAATTCCTACTAGGTGCCAGGCACTGTGTTACTGACTGAAGGTATGTAATCAACAAGACATATTAAGATCCCTGCCCTAATGAACCTTACAATCTAGTATGGCAGTATTATAAACACATAAAATAAAATGTCACATTGAAAAGTACTATGAAAGAAATAAACAGGGTGTTAAGTTATAAAATAATAGGGGGGGGAACTTTCTGAGGAGAAGACTTTCAGGTTGAATAATAAGAAGCCAGCCATGGGGGAACTGCATTTCAGGCAGCATACAAAGGCCCTGATACATTGGTGAGATCAGTGAACAGAAAGGAGACCCATGTGGCTGGACCACGGTGAACTGTAAGAAGAGAGGTAGTAGAGTTGAAGTGGAGAGGTAAGCCCAGGCCTATTATAAGTGAGATATTTTAAGTACAGGGATGACGTAATAATTCATGGCTTTAATAGGTCACTTGAGTTTGCCATGTGGAGTGTGAAGTGGAGAAGCAAGTGTGGAAGCAAGGTCAGTTAGGAGTCTACTGCAGCAGTCCAGACAAGAGATGATGGTGGCTTGGGCTGGCGTCCTGGCAGTGGAGGTGGAAAGAATGAGACAGAGTTGATATGTATTCTAGAAATAAAGGTGACAAGTCTTATTAATGACTTGAACATGAAAAATAAGGTTAAAAAAATCAAAGATGATTAGCTATTTCCTGTCATAAGCAGTTGAATGGATATTAACATTTATACTTCTATGGGTATGAATGTGTTTGAGGCCAGGTTCAGTAAATGTAATACTAAATGATCTCCAAAGCCTATGGAAACAATGATCTTGATATAGTAATGTAATCCTTATCTGGCAGGAGACTCAGAGTTAAGTTCTGAATAAAACTGCAGTAACTGACTTGAGTCTCGGTTTCTGCTGTAATTGTTCCACCATCCCATTCATTACTTAGCTCTTGTTCAATTGAATACAATTCACTGATTACTTTTATTGCAAGTCATCTTATTATTTTTAAGAGTAGGTGAGTTACAAATCAAATAGTAAGTGATAAACTCTGTAAAGTACTTAACATTTTTAAGAGTCATAGAAGGCTGAGAAAACAGAACTCTTAAACAAGGCACTCTATATGGAATAGTGCAATAATTGTGAGCCCTTTCAGGGTATAGACATCTGTCTTATTGACCAGTGCATACCAGGCACCTAGGACACAATTCTTGGCAAGTAATAGATACTCAGTATTTCATGAGTGCTTTACAACTCAAGTGTTAAGACATGCCATGGTACCTATGTTTACCATTTCAAATTTCTCATCAAGTTTCTCAACACAAGAAAAATAATTAAAATGCAAATATGTAAGTACAGAAAAGAAATGTACACATAGGCCACAGAGAAAATATTGTTTAAACTGTGAAAATAAGCAAATGAAGGATGTCTAACAATTAATTCCTTAGAAGGAAAAAAGAACTATATTTCCTATAGATGATGTAGTAGAATCAACATTCTTTGATGTTGCACAGACTTAGAATCCTAGATTTTCCACCTATGAAAGGGGAAAATTTAGGCAGATCACTTAACCTCTGGTCAAATTTTCCTTATGTGCAAAACTAGGATAATTACAGTACCCATCTCATACAGTTATTCTGAGGATTACATTAGATAATGCTTGAAAATATACAATACAATGCTATACACATAATAAGAACTCACTAAATATTAGATCTTACTATTTAGAGTCCCATCTCATCCCTTTGTCAACTAAACCTTATTTTATCAAGTCTGGCCGGAAAACACTTGGGTCTAGGCCACAGAGTAAAACAAGATCATTTGTGGTAGTCTCCTCTTTGATTCCTGCAGATTAACCAGGCTAAAAGTACAAAAGCAACTTTAAAGAGATACCTTGGTTTATGAAAAGATCTAGGGGAAAGAAAAACATTTCCACTTGCATTTATCACCTGAAACTTCTCCATACAAAGAAAAGGAATTTGGAAATAACTAAGTCAAAGTAAAAGATCAATTAAATCTACCAATATATTTTTCAAATATCAAAAGCACCAAGAAACAAGTATAGAAAATAGTGAAGGATTTCCCAGTACTTTATAATTTGTTTTTAAAAAATACTTTTGATTAACATTTCCACAGAACAAAATTACCAGAGCTTCTAAGCTGTATTAATGTTATATCTACAATAGAATCATAAACATAAAAGCATTATATTTAACATGAAATAGTCTAAAACTTCACAGAGAAAGACTTCAAAGGTAACTGCTTTAGAAATAAATTATTTTCTAAAATAAAAAATTTAATGAAATACAGTGTTTTCAATACAGAGTATTTTACAAATCTGCAAAACAGATATGTTAATTTTCTCTATGCAAATGTAATATATAATCATTCAAAATAAAAAGAATGATTTTTCAAAGAAACATGACTGTTGAGTCCAGCTAGCAGAAATGAATACTCAGTGACAAATGTAGTACTGAGAGGTAAACTTTAAAAATACAGCTTGTAAAATATAAGCATGAAAAGTGATAAACTTCAATAGACAGTAGCCTCACTGACATCAGTCTTAGTGATATTTTTGTGGATCTGAATCCAAAGGTAAGGGAAACAAAAGCAAAAATAAATAAATGAGACAACATCAAACTAAAAAGCTTCCACACAGCAAAGGAAACCGTTACCAAATGAAAAGGCAACCTACTGAATGGGAGAAGATATTTCCAAATCTGATAAAAGGTTAACACCCAAAATATATAAAGAATTCATACATCTTAACACCAGTAGAAAAACAACCTGATTAAAAAATGGCCAGAGGATCTAAATAGACATTTTTTCCAAAGAAGACATACAGATGGCCAAAAAGCACATGAAAAGATGTTCAACATCACAAATTATTAGGAAAATGTATATCAAAACTACAATGAGGTATCATCTGCCTGTTAGAATGGTTATTATTGAAAAGACAAGAACAACAAATGCTTCAGAGAATGGGGAGAAAAGGGAACCCTTGTACACTGTTGATGGGATTGTAAACTGGTGCAGCCAGTGTGGAAAACAGTACGGAGATTCCTCAAAAAATTAAGGACTACCTTATGACTCAGCTATTCCACTTCTGGGTATTTATCTAAAGAACACAAATATCTGATAGATACAGATATCAGATTAGTGGTTACCAGAAGGAAAGAGGGCTGGGGAAGGGCAAAATAGGTGAAGGGGGTAAACTGTATGGTGATGGATGGTAACTAGGCTTGTGGTAATGATCACTTTGTAGTGTATATATAAATGTTGAATTATAATGCTGTACCTGAAACTTATATAATAAAAAGAATCACTGCCCTAAGGTATAATTTTAATTACCACTTTATAAATTACACAGCATTACTTCATATTTCTTTGCATTAGAAGTGATTGAGGTATCTGAACAAAGTTCTGGAAAATTCAATTTGCTATCTGAAAAATCTACTTCTCTGCACTTACATAATGTACATAACTAATACATGTCTCACCTATTTAGGTAGGTACTTAATGCATATAGTCGAGTACAGTGAAAATGAATTTATTCCTAACTATAAATGGCAGGGTAATCAAAATTATATATTTGAGAATGCAAAATATAGTATGCAATAACTTCTTTAAAATTCTTAAAAGATCACATTTTAAAGAATCTTCCCCTTTTATAAGTTTTGGTAACTTTCAAATGATTCAACTGGCAGTTTTCCATTCTTAACACTGACGCCAGAATTCTCATAGCTTCTAAACTCTTGTTTTCCAATACAGTAAGGCTCTCCTTCACTAAAGTAGCTGGAGCCTTGCATTAAACACACACACACACACACACACACACACTTGTGGTGGAAAACCTAAGCTATTTAAACACCGTAAGCAGAAGGATTTTTTTTTTCATGTTTTAAAACACATGAATAGAAAGGATTACACCTTAAGGAACAGAAGCCATCTGGACATTTCCAAATCAATCTAATATACAGTAAGGAATTAAGGGGAACCTAGTCTCTCAGAGTGCTACGGACACTGGAATAGATTCCTGAGACCCTTATGACCATTCCATGTAGAATATCAAAATTTACTAAAGCAAATAACAAGCTCAGTACCATTATCTAAAGACAATTCAAAATTCTGTGATAAACTTAGAATAATTTTCAAACAACTTATGCCAAGTATTTATTTACTTAAGTTCTTCTTTAAATCTGAGACTTTAGGGTGAGTAAGTAGAAAACAGAGGTGATATTACTTTTATTAATTATTACCTAAATAACTTCTCTACTTTTAGGATAAATAACAATCATGAATAAATAACAGTCATTTTAATAAAACATGTGAATGTTTTAAAAATCAGAATTACTTGAAAATGAAAGATTAAATTTTTACGAAACAGTTTAAGGGTAATTCAGTCATATATCTCCCATTAAAATCTACAATAAAAATAATCACAATTTGACCTATCTTAGCTTTTATTTTATGTAAAGTTTTATCTGACATTTATGTTATACAGAGTCTATCTTATATAATGGTGACATCATTTTGTGAAGACATCCTAGGAAATCATTTTTTTAAAGAAAACATTACTTACTAAAAATATCATGATGTAAAGAGAATCTAGACTGAAATAACTTACTTTGAATGTCCTCCTGAATTCTATTTTTCCAAACTAGAGAACATAGACACAATCTGTCAAATACCTACAAAAAAATGGATGCTGTGATGTTAAGAGAAGAGGTAGAAAGGGAGAAATGAAATCTCAGACTTTAATTTTTTCGTTCAATTTTATCCACAGTTTGCATCGGTAATATACATTTAGTGTTCCATTTATTTTTAAATGCGTCAGAAAATCAATCATGATAGATCTGTGACCAATACAAACATTTCTGAATTCTTCAAGAAATTCAGTTAGAAAAGTCAATAAACTAGCATTCTGTAAAGATAATTATTAAACAAATGGTAATGATTTTTACTCCTTATTTCAATTCTAACATATCCAACATCAGTTCTTTCTTGTGCCATACAGTAATAAAATTTAGCAGAAGTAGCTATCTACTGCATGTTTTAGGGCCTAATAAAATAGTTTAGTTTCACTATTTAACCCTCTTCAAATCACAAATCCAATTCATATAATGATGATCATTCTTAATTCAATAACTGATGAAGTAAATATATGAGAACCATAAAAACCATTTAGAGTAAATTCTACACTTATTTAAAAACTACTAAAAGAAATACATCAGAGCCTTGATATAATATATTCTTGGGAACTATGCTGTGAAACTGTCATAGAGGTGGTGTTGCCTTTTGCCATTACAGTAAATAAACTGCCATGGTATGCACCTCAGAGAGACTATCTTAAATGGAATTTTGCTTTGCAGTAAAGAATGCTACAGAGCTTCTGGTGTATTTTCTCTTTAAAGTAATAATTAATTGACAAGTAAGTGAAATGCAAAAAGGAAATGGCCTATACTTTCACAAATATTTCAATGATATGAAACATGAAAATACTTGTAAAATAATTAACATCTAGGTTGATTAACAAGAGGAATCCTACAACATAACTTTGCAAGTAGTATGAATGATTGCTGCAGCTTTTAATGATCACTTTATTTGTAACATTGTCAAATTTTTACATTAAAAACTAACAACTAAGATATTTAGTTGTCATTTTTTATCTTTATTACCCAAATTTTCACTAGGGAGATTGATTATGTCAATGAGGTTTTTTTTTTTAAGATCCAACTGAAAAATAGTAACTAATTAGCTCAAATATTTAAAGTAATAAATTACTAATAATTTAATTTTTAAATGTTTTAGTCATAAAAAGCTTTAATTCTTTAAAAGCTCCAATTTGACCCTTGAAATGTAAAGAACACATCTGTATCCTAAAGCCAAAACTTAATTATATGGCTTCATGCCAACTGATCAAAAAAAAAAAGCAGAGTTGTTCCTAAACCAACCCTTACTATATCATTTGGCACAATAGTTTTTAACCTTTCATATATACCTTTGAAATACCCAGGCCAACATTTTCAGTAAGTTGCATCCATATTAAGAGGTAACAAGTGCAAATAATCACATATTTAAGATATGATACTTGCTTGACTACTACAAAAGTAATTTACTAAGTTTCTTTATAGGAAATTGAGTTATTCATTACAGTAATGTTTTTGAAAAATATCTGCACTACTACCAACATAAATTTATCCACCTCTAAATTAAACAAGGACTTTATGTAACACCGTATACTTATGAAAAGATTTATAGAATGGTCTGTGTTCATTTCAACATCTTGTTAATTGAGGATCATAAGATTTACAGGATCCACAAATGGGCAGATTTCAAATAAAAACCTACTCTTCAATTGCTGCTCTCTGAATCTGAATATAACAAAAGGCAGCACACTGATGTAATAACGTTCCTGAAAGTCAAGACAAAAACCCAAACTTTGGCAGTTTTATCAAAATGTCCTTGATAATTAAGTACTTTGCTAGTTCTCAAAAACCTTACTGCTTTGTGTAACATTTTCGATACAGAAATAAAATACTCTTCAAATAATACATTTTAAAAGATGATTAAGTTTTGCAAAATTAAATATCATAAATTAAGCATATTAACATTGTTTTTGACAACATGAAACAACCAATTTAAGAAAACTGCAACGGACTAAATAAAAACCACAAATGTCACAATGTGAGGCATATTTATCCTCACATATTACTGAACTTACAAAATCTACTAAAATATTTTAAAATTCCATTGATTCCATTAATACATAAAAAGAAATTGCAAAAATGCTTAAGACTATATGAGTCATCAGTTACACAGGCACTTCACATGTAAACAATCTACAGTACAACTGAAAATATTTTGGCACCAACCTATAATACTAAAAGAATTTAATATAAAGCCAGAGTTCTGTATTTTCTACTCACATTTTTTCTAGAAAACTAAGACCAAAGATTGAAGAAACTGTGTATAAACTAGGATTACAAGTGTATTAAATAACTCAAATATAGAACTGTTTTAAATTGGTAAAAAAATGATTTCCTTATCCAGATGTTTACCAGTATGCTATGATATAAAAAAATTAAACCTAATGTGATTATTAAATTGAAACCATGTTTTAAATTTAGTATTAATCTGATTGTTGAAAAATAATCAAGATTATCAACTGACGTAGTAAGAAGAGAATTTGAATTTAACACAAACTCTTATTGGGTTGATCCAGTTTTCCCCCAAAAGAAGTATGGGAAACTCAAAATTTAATTTTGATGTTTTAACAGAATTTCCCTTAAACCTAAGGCTTGATCTAATAAAATCATTTTTGATCAGACATCCTTATTCATACATTTGAGATCTTTGAAATCACTTCAAATAAATGAAACTAGACAATTATGATTTTTAAATGTTAACATCAAGCTGTAGAAAGCTGAGATGCCTTGGTTGTAGGTAATTCAAGAAGAGCCTGAACTGTGACACCAACTTTCACAAGACCTCTTTCTTCCAAAATATGATGAGGCAAACAAAGTCTTTCCTGAAAAACAAAACAAATGGTATCTGAACATCTGTTTTTTTAATAGTGCAGCAAAGCCTGAGTAAGTCAGAACTGGGTTTTTAAAACATACTTTCGATAGAACTTCAAGTAAAAAGTACACAATTCTAATTAAATTAAATTCTAATTCTAAAATGTCTGTTTCAATAGACCTTTATGGTAGGGAATTATATTTTCTTTTGATCTGAGGTTGGTCTGATCCATATAATAAGCAAATATTTTAAAGTGAGATGGTGGTGCTAGATGTTCCCTAAGCTCTCATGCTGGAGCAGAAAGAGTACATTTCCATCCAACAGATGTAAGGGTCATACAATATGAAGTACTAAAGGTACTAAAATTCTCTGAGACTCTGTTTCTTCATCTGGAGACGGGACTGTGTGAGAAACAAACAGAACAATCTATCTATGGAAGCACTTTGTAAACTGCTGAGTCCTGTACAAAACTAGCCACTCTCGTTCTTTCTACCAGTTATGAGGTTCCGTGGTCTGTGATGTATGTAGCACTTCAGTACTTTATTTGTCTTAAGGTTACTTCCCTCCAGCTTCTAGTGATGTTGTGTTGCTTCTTAGTTCCAATAGTCTACAATTTGATAAATAACAACTGCCTCCTCTTCTAAGACATCACATGTGTTATTTGATCTTCACAACTCTATGAGAAAGAGGGTTTAGAAACAACTTTACATTAGGTTTCATTAGCCTTCACTGATCCTCTTCTAACAACCTTAATGTCTTCTAACAACCTTCTGTCTTCACCAGCTTCTCTTCTTATACTGTATCTTCTCCTTGGTATTCTCAAAGCCTTCTAAAAACTGCAAGGGTTTTAACTGAGGGTTTGCATGCATGTGCACAACATCAAATAAATTTGGTGGCAGTTTTGAAGAAATGATGCAGTCCACTGCTTCAGTTGGGACACTCATTCTTCTCAGGAAAATAAGCTAGCAGTGAACAGAGTGGGTGGCAAACAACAGGTCTCATCTGGTCCATAATTGTGTTTTAGTTGGCTAGCACAATGTTTTACAAATCTAAAAATATTACTTTTTAAAAATCCAGTGTTTCTTGAAACATTGGTAGACTTGGCAAGATTGAGCCCCTATTCCCAAACAGTAACAACTGCATCTTCCATCCTGATGACTTTCAGATGTTTATTTCCTGCCAAGATTTCTCTATTGAGCTCCAGATACAAATGTCAACTTGACACAGCCAAACAGATGCCCAAGAGACATATTAAAATCAATTCGTCCACAACAGAACGAATTCCTCACTAAATTAACTTCCCCTTCTGTATTCTATACCTCAATCAGTAATACACTATTCAATCTCTCAACATAAACCTAGGAATCATAGTAATCTTATTCTTCCTTACTCTCATAACTCAATCACCAAATACTACTGATAATATCCCATTTATCAAGAGTTCTCAAAAACTATCTTCTCACTACATTTTCGCTGCAACATTTGTTGCCCTCCTATTATTTTCCTTTTTTATTCAAAAAATCCACTGACGTATATATTAGAAAAGAAAAAAAAGGTTTCAAATCAATGACCTCAGCCTCCACTTTAGAAACTAGAAAAAGAGAAATTAAAACAGTGGCAAGCAGAAACAAGGAAATAATGAAGATGAGAAAGAAAAACAATAAAATTTAAAAAAATAATTATACAAAAAAAAATCAATGAAACCAAATTAGTTCACTGAGAAGATTCCTTAAAATTCATAAACCCCTAGCTAGGTTAATCAGGAAAAAGAGAGAAAATACACAAATTGCCAACCAATATCAGGAATAAAAGAGGGGATATCACAAGAGATTCTACAAATTCTAAAATGATAATAAGGGGGGCATTATAAACAATAGTATGACAGTAAGTTTGACAAACTAGGTGAAATGGACAAATTCTTCAAAAGACACAGAATACCAAAGCTCATGCAAAAAGAAATAGGAAACTAGAAGACCCTCATATCTATTAAAGAAAATTAAATTGTAGTTAAAAACTTTCCCACAAAGAAAATCCCTTGCCTAGATGGGTTCAAAGTTCAATAATGAATTTAACTAGATATTTAATAAAGAAATACTATCAATTCTACTCAAAATCTTCATGAAAACTAAGAGCAGGGAATACTTCTGAACAGATTCCATGGGGTCAGCATTACCTTGACACAAAAGCCAGGGAAAGACATTAAGAAAAAAAGAAAACCAAAGCCAATAACCCCATCAACTTAGAAGCAAAAAGTCTAGACGAAATTTTACCAAATTTAGCCCCAAAACATAAAAATAACAACAACAAAATCTATCATGACCAAGTGCGGTTTATCCCAGGAGTCCAGGTTTGAGTTAACATCTGAAAGTCAACCAATGTAGTTCACAATGTTGTGAAAGGAAAAAAAGTTATCTCCGTAGATGCAGAAAAAGTACTTGATAAAATTCAACATCCATTCCTGATAAGAACTCTCAGCAACTAGGATAATATATCTCATAAGGAACTTGTATCTGGAATATATAAAGAACTTAATAATAAAAAAGTGACTAATTCAATTAACAAATGGGCACAGGATTTGAAAAGACATTTCTCTAAAGAATGTATATAAATAGTCAATAAGCACACAAAAAGATGCCCAACATCATTAGCCTTTAAGGAAATGCTAATCACACCCACTAGGATGACCAATCAAAAAGGTAAACAATAATCCCTGTTGGTGAGGTGTGGAAAAATTAGAACCCTCATGCATTGCTGGTGAGAATGTAAATTAGAAAATAACTTAGTAGTTCCTCAAAAGATAAACACAGAGTTACCATAGAACCTAGCAAGCCCACTCCAAAGTATTTAAGTAAGAGAATTAAAACAAGTGTTTAAACAAAACCTTGTCCATGAATGTTCATAGCAGCATTATTCATAATAAACAATGAGTGGAAACAGCTCGAATATCCACTAGCTGATGAATGGTAAATAAACTGTGGTATTTACGTACAATGGAATAGGACCTAAAAAATGAAGTACAGGCAGACCTCAGAGATATTGGGAGTTCAGTTTCAGACCACCGAAATAAAGCGACTATCATAATAAAGTGAGCCACGTGAGTTTTTGTTTTCTAGTCCATATAAAAGTCATGTTTACACTATACTGTAGTATTTAAATGTACAATATCATTACGTCTAAAACACAAACTTTAATTAAAAAATACTTTATTGCTAAAAAGTGCTAATCATCATCTAACAATGCACAGTTGCCAGTTAACCTTCAATTTGTAAAAAAATGCAGTAACTGTGAAGCACAATAAAATGAAACTCAATAAAACTGGGTGTATCTGTACTACTTTATGCTACAACATGGATGAAGCTTGGAAACATTACACTAAATGAAAGAAGCCAGATACAGAAGACTCCATATTATGTGATGTCATTAATATGTAATGTCCAGAACAGGCAAATTTATAGAGACAGAACAGGGGAGGGACTGCTAATGGGTAAGAGGTTTCTTTCTGGGCTGATAAAAATATTCTACACTTACACTGTTACCCAACTCTGTGACTACACTAAAAACATTTTAAATGGGTGAAATTATGGTATGTTAATTATATCTCAATAATAATGTTTAAAAAATGTGTATGCCCAATCCCAGGCCTTAAATAAAGAGAACTTCAATTCATACTTTTCAACATATACAAAAATTAACTAAAATTTGATTATAGACCTAAATGTAAAACTTAAGATTATAAAACTTCTAGAAATAAATATAGGATAAAATCTTTGTGATCTTAAGTTATGCAAAAACTTCTTTGGTTTGACACCAAAAGCACAATCAATTTTTTTTTAAATGACAAATTTTACTATAAAAATGTACAGTTTCTGCTCTCTTAAAGATACTATAATGAGAATGAAAAGACGAAGCAAAAACTGGGATACAATATTTGTAAATCACACATCTGATAAAGGACTTTATAATTTATAAAGAAATCTCAAACTCAATGATAAGAAAACCCAATTAAAAAAGAGACAAAAGATTAGAATAGATGCTTCATAAAAGAAGTCATATAAATGGCAAATAAGCCCTTGAAAAGATGATCAACAACATTAGTCTTCAGGAAATGTAAATCAAAACCACACTGATGAACTAGTACACACCTATCAGAATGGCTAAAATTAAAAAAACACTGACCATATTGAATGTTACTGAGGATATGGAGGAACTGGAACTCTTACCCACTACTGATAGGAATGTAAAATGGTACAACCACTTTGGAGAAGAGTTTTATGCTTTCTTATAATGTTAAGCATTCACCTACACTTCACTCCCACATATCTAACCAAAACTAAAGAACACATATATCCAAAGACTTGTATATAAATGTTCATAGCAGCTTTATTTGTAGTTATCTCTAAAACTGGAGACAACATAAATGGCCATCAATAGGTCAATGAGCTGACAAACTGTGGTATATTCATATAATGAATTACTATACAACAATAAAAAGGAATGACCTATTTATACATGCAACAACATTGATGAGTCTTAGAATAGTTATATTGAGTAAAAGGAGCCAGAAAAAAAAATTGTACCTACTGTAGCATTCCAGTTATATACAACTCCATACAGAAGATACAAACTAAACTGTAATAACAGAAAGCAGATTAGTGGCTGCCTGGGGAAGAAAGGATTGCAAAGGGACACAAGGAAACTTTTGCAGGTAATGGACATGTTCATTACCTTGAATATGGTGAAGATTTCATGGTGTACGGATATGCCAAAACTTATCAAGCCGTACACTTTACTTATGTGCACTTTATTGTATGTCAATTATACTTCACTAAAACTTAAAAATACAAAAATATCCTAAAACAAACAAAAAAATTTAAATAAAAAAAATCAACAATATATTATCATTTCCAAGTCAGGGAAAAACAAATTGAAGCTAAAAATAAAACTCTTCCTTCATGGCCAACAGCTACAGAGTTTCAAAAATGGGAGTCGATGCCTGGTCCCTCCATAGCCCCCCTTATGATGAGGATGGGTGAGGAACTAACATTGCCCTAGAACAAGCTGGAGAGAGAAGACAAGAGTATGCTAATAGTTTTCATAAGACTTTCCCTTTTATCCTCCTTTTCTAATGTATCAAGAAGGTGTCAGGGATATGTCGGATTATCTTTTCTTTCAAATAAAAGAACAGAAATAGAGTATTCAAGTTAGAGGGTGGACTCTGGAATTAGAACACTGGGGTTTATAGTTTGGCTCCATTGATTACTAAAAGTGTGACCTTGGCCAAGTTCCCTAACTTCTCTGCGTCTCAGTTTCCTCATCTGTAAAATGTACATTCATTCAATAAATGGTTATTGAGAACCCTTCCTGAAAACTCTTAAAACTCAAAAATGACAAAACAGGAAATTGTATATAATGTAATAATAACTTGAAAAAAACCTTCCTAACTTCTCTATTTTCTCACTAAGAGATTGAGTACAAGAAAAAAACCAAAAAAATGTTTAAGAATCAAATTTTTAAAACATGTCAACCATAGAGAAGTAACTAGATGAGAACAGCATGTAGCTTCCACATTACACAGTAATTCAACATTTCTCTCTACATAACTTATATTTATTCACTTGAAGAAAGAGGTTAAAGTAGAATTTGTATACCATATTATGACACAATTGCAAAGAGAGGTTAACAAACACAACTCAATATGTAAGTGTATCAAATCAACACACTGTACACCTTAAACTTATAAAACATTATGTCAATTCTCTCTCAATAAAAATAAATTTTAAAAAATAAAAGGAAGAAAAGTACAACTAGATTGTGATCTGCTATTAATGTCATGCCTTCTTAACAGTCAAACATGTTGATGTTAGGCTTATGATGTTCTCCAAAAAAGCAATATTTTGATTTTTTATCTTCATTATACATTAACAATATTGCTTTATTAATTGTATAGTATTAAAATTATTACATGAAACATAAGCCTATTCCTACAGATGTCAAAGTTTATTTAGTGAGATATTACCATAATATGTTACTAAGATCTCTAATTTGACACTTTAAATAAAAAAGCTATCCACCTTGAATGCAAATCTGCAAATCAGATTCTAGCCATGGATTTATAACAATGGAGTCCAAATGTCCCCTATCAGGAAAAGTAAGAATATCAATGGCATACAACCAACCTGTCATATGGCCACTAAGTTACGTTTATTCAACGATGTGTATAATAAGTAAATTTTTTCCATATATTTAGCTGTTTTATAATACTTTAAAAGCAGCTTAAAAACATTCATTAGGTAGCTATGACAGTTAAAGCTAGAATTCAATAGAAGGTACCAATGCAAGGCATTCATTTTCACATTCAGAAAGCATTATTCATTCCTATTGTGAAGAAGAAGAATCCAATACACATGTAATAAATTAATATTTAAATGATCATTTTGTTAGAAAAATAATTACCTGTGAGACACCCAACTTTTTACAAGCATCAAGAAAATTTTCTACATTTCTTCGACATTTTGCCATGCTCAGTTTAGGCTGTAAAGTAAGAAAAAAAAAAAGGTATATTTTCAGGCATATTTATACAAAATTAATCGATATTGAAAATTAAATTTATTGAGGTACATTATTTAAAACCTGTTTCAAGAAGCTCTATCTTCCTTTAGAGAACTAACAAATTGTAGACAAAACTTACCACTGCTGGTGATGGCACATGAATACTAGCTACAGAGCGTGGCCTTATATGATTGGCTAAATGGCAAAGAACAACCCCATCCATCAGTGCAGCTCCAATGTCATCAGGTAAAATTACTTTTAACCTGGATTCGAGATTCTGTAAAAGAAATAGGTATAAATCACAGATATTCTACCTAAATATCTATGCTACATACTTATATTACTAATCGTTATATAATCCAAAATTTTAAAGAGTTGTTAATTTTCCAAGCTAAATTCATCTCACAAAGCAGATGTGAAAGGTCGATCTGACTTACGTTGCGAAGTTGTCGTATTTGCTCTCGTTCTTCCCGTAGATGTTCCATCTTTCTTCTCATTGTAAAACCTGGATCTGCTGCCCCATATTCCTGGCGTGATGAGCGGCTAAAAGCTATAAAAACAGAAATTTCCCAGCTTATTACAAAGCTAACGGGAAGGATCAACCATCGGTGGGGAAAGAGGCATGATAAAAAGAACCAGTACAAAACTACATAAAACACTATTACTTATTAATACATTCTAAATATTTTTTAGAGAATATAATTGAAATCTACTTATTTGCATAATTGAAAGCAACAGGGAAGACAAGTGTAATGACTTCTACCACCTATACATGTTCTTAAACATACGTAATTAGAAACTTATGATCCAGGTTAAAAATTATTATTGAACACAAATCAGCCTTTATTATCTTTAAAGAAAAAGGAAATTATTTCTGAAGGTCAATAACAGTTATTCAGGAATAAAAACTATAATTCAATACCTTGCCAAGTAACATGGATCCACTTTCTTTTGGGCTTGCCAAATGCGAAAAGATCCCCTTTTAAAACCACAATATAATGGAGTGCTATAATTTCAAACAGTGTTTGGTTTGCTGGCAGAGTGGTCAGTCTAATAGCAGTCACAGTAGAGTAGAAATAAGACTGCAGTATATCTAAGGCAAAAAGCTGAGGTTTCAGGAGCTTGAAGGTAAAGAGGAAGAAAGAAATGGGGAATGGGAATTGGAAAGACAAATAAGGTTAAGAGAAAATTACTTTTAGGAGAGGGGAAAGAATCTATGTGTACTTAAAACTATGGAATCAATCCCATTTAAGCTGAGAAACTGTTGTTTCATATATAACCAATAAATTTTATTTGCAGAATATTTATTTACCTGATCTGGGCTTCAAGCCAAAGGGGCCATGTGAAAAACCATCAGTTCTATCATATTCCTAAAAACAGAAAAAAAAAAACAGAAACTTTTTTCTTTCAAAATAATCAAGGCAGTTATTCATATCCATTCCAATTTTGAAAAGTATTTATTTCTTCCATGATTAACCAGTGGAGCAGAGAAGGGTAAGTTGCATTTTCAATTCAAATTTATACATTTCACTTTTAAAAGGTTTATAAATATTTGCTAATTGACCTGAGCCTTTATATCCTTCTCTCTCATAGTATAAGGAAGATGAAAAAGAAAATTATTAAAGTATATAAAATAAACAGATACTATTTTTTGAATGAAGAACCAGGTTAAAGTGTCCCCCAAAATGAAATAAACTTCAATGAAAAGATAAGTGAAATTAGCAACACTCTGTATCTACTGTGGACTTGACACTTAGTGGATAATCTGAGGCAAATATACATATTGATACTAATAGGGGCTGCTGAGCAATAGATAATAAAGTATTATTTCTCCTGTCTGAATGCACATTGTTTCAAAGTGCTTTTCACACATTAGTGTGCTATGGAAAGAACTGTGGTATATTTTAAACATCTGAACTTAGAAAGTTTAGGCTAAGCCTTGAGCAAAACATTTCATTTGTCTGGTGACTGTTTCTTCATCTCTGAAATAGGATGTTGTAAAGATTAACTGAGATAACTAAAAGAAAGCACTTTGTAAATTATAAAATTGTGAAAAAATATATATCATTTTAGTAACATCTTATTTAATCTACACAACTGTGAAGTAGCTCGAGTTTGGGCTTTAGTCACTTCTCAACCATATATTGAATGGAATCTTTAGGAAAAGTTAATTATCTCTTCAGCTGTAAAATGATGAGGATAGTATCAAGCTCATGGGACTGCTCTTAAATTTAAAAGTACAGGCAAGCACTTTCTTAATAGTAAAGCACTATATTAATTGTTTTTACAATTTTCCTTTCACAGATGTAACTGAAATAATAATTCTGTTGATTCTCTGAATCTTCTGATTAACATGTGATATTCAGGACAAGCTGAACGTCAGTTGAGGTACTAAAACACATGTTCACTACTCTATCCATTTACAAGCCTCACAGTGTGTCTTGATTATGTCGGTTAAGGTATTGTGAACTTTCAGACAAAAATCTCATTTATCCAAATGTAAGCAAAAATGTATTATAAAAGCAATGTAATTTATTTGAAAAAACACCCTAACACTCTCCCCATGAGCATAGATCATAAAATCATAAAGCAACTATGTAAATAAGTCATCACTTGTATTTGTTATACTTGGAAGTAAAAGAAAGGATTTACAAAAGCATGTGACAAAGACTAATTTTAGAATACCCTAATTTAAATTATTTTTTAAAAGAATGTAAACCATTTTACTTGCCATATAAATAATTCAGAAACACATTTATAAAACTAATGCCCAAGTCCATTTAAAAGTTTTATAATGTAATTCATCCAAAACAATAGACAAAGTATCCTGGCTTTTTAAAAAAATTACTATCATCTATGCAAAATGAAATACTGTCTAATTAACCAAAGTTATACAGTGAATTTGGATCATCCAAACATTTAGACAAAGTCCTGAACTCACCATATGAATGCATAATCATTTATTTACTAATGCCAATACACTTTAAGAATACTAAATAAGGTAATCTGAAATAGAAGAGATACTATTTAGAATTTTTAAAAATTTATCTTTTATTGTGAAGCAACAGGTTTAACTAAATTAGAAGAGTCAACAATTTAAACCACAGAATATTTGGTTGAGATCTCAGAAACTAATTTTCATCCACCCCTTCTTCCTCACATCCCTTCTTAGGTCTAAGATGCTAGGAAATGTGTACCCTCCTGTCGATAGGAACAACCCACAGCAGGGATGTTTCTCGTGGAAAAAGGAAAGTTTTTCTTGCATTGCTTTCAGACCTAATTGGTTATGAGAAAAACCAAAGGCCATTGCACAATGCTGAAATATTTCTTTTCAAATTGAAAATTTGAAAGCTGTTATTTATTTCAAAATATGAATCAAATTATAAAACATAAAAACCATATGAAGTGAATTCTTTTCTGTGATCTATAGGCATTTTCCAATAAGTAACTTAAGGGATATTCATTATGAATATTTGTACAAAGATATGGTGTTCTTAGAGTCTTTTTATAGGCTAGGTTTGCACAAATCAACCTTTTAAATATGGATGAATAAATTACATTTAAAAAAAAGAAAGAAAGATGAGGTTAGAGAGAAGAGACAAAGAAACCTATGTAAACACATTTAAAAACAGAACTTGTACCTCAGATGACACTGGAGATTGTGGTGACATATTAGCATTATCACTTTCTTGCTAAAATATAAAAATAAAAAGATGAAAGATGAAATTAAAATATGAATGATGATTCAGACATAAAAAAGGAAGATTGAAAATTGTTCTGATCAACTACTAAAGAAGAATCTGGAAAATACCATCTATCACCTTGCCAAAGTGTGGTCTGTGGACCAGCAGCATCAACATCGTTGGGAGCTTGTTAGAAATGCAGAATCTCAGGCCCCACCCAAGACCTACTGAATCAGAATCTGTATTTCAGTAAGATTCCCAGGTGATTCATAAGCACTTTAAACTAAAGTTTTAGAAGTAGTATCTACTCACATCAAATATTTTCTTATAAATTCATTTCCTTTAAATATCACAAATGAAAAATCTTTCTATATGTCTTAGAAAATATCCATGAGTCAAGATTAATTCCTAATAGAAAATGGCAACAATATATTACAATCTGAGACAGGTACATGGAAGCATGCAAAAATTCCATCACCCCAAATAATAGTGTTTACCTGGAAAATTATGTGTATCTAAAATAGGCTTAGAAATAATTACAAAGAATTTAATTGCATAAGATAATACTAAATGGTCCATTTTTTTTCAATGACTACTAATAAACAAATACAAAAATCTAAACGTTTAACCTTGAATACGCATACCACATAGGACATGTACTCATCATACAACATATGATTACTTGAGCACCTACTTTATGTCAGACACTGTGCTAGACTCTGGGAATACTGAAATTTAGTAAAATATCATCCACTCAAGGATCTTTCAGTCTAGGGGGAAAATAGATTCATTTACACGGGTAAAACAACCTTCTCAGTACAATGATAGAGCCATGCATGGCATATTATGGGGCACAGATAAAGGGTGCTCAGGGAAATAGTGGGACTGGGGGAGAAGGCAAGTTTCCTGAGAAAGTAAAAAACCGAGTAAATGTTTATCAAAAAAAGAAGGGAACAATATTCCAAGATAAAGGACAACAAGGACAAAGGCACAGAAGCAATAAATGAAAGGATGAGTGCAGAAAACCTTGCAGTTCCATGTTTTTGGAGAGTATGGTGAAAGGAGGGCAAGTCATGAGTTGAGGCTGATGTGGTAAGCAGGAGCTTGATCAAGGACCTAGAATTTACTTTCTCAGTAATGAGGAGACACTAAAGGTTTCTAAGCAAGGAAATGGCCTGATCATATTTATGTTCTTTCAATCACTGGCAGCAGAGAGGAAAATGGACCAGAGAAAGGGAGAAAAGCAAGGATGCTATTGCAGTTACTGGTAAGAAATGATAAGGGCCTGTGCTAGAGCAGAAATAGCAGAAATGTAGATGAGGAATGTATTCAAAGTACGTCAGTATCAAAAAAAAGTAGGTCATGGTAACTGATTAGATATTGAAGCAGGCAGGACCAAAGTGGATATAAAATATAAAGAGACAGAGAGAACAGCCAAGCTGAACCTCTAGTTTAGTGTACAGCAAACGTTTTGGGGGTGATCATATTTCCTAAAATTAAAGTTTTCAGAAGCCCTGCCAAGTATCCAACATCAAATTAACTACCAATTCCACCAAACAAAAATACACAAAACTTAAGTAGATGGTGATGAGATGACATCATTTCAAAAATGCCAGGCTGCTGCACAGCTTAAAATGATGAGGTAGAAAAGTTTATAGCAATGCACAAACCGTAGAAATCTAAGCTTAAATGCTAAAATAGCATACAGAGTTTGTGAAAAGAGACTAACAAATTCCAAAGAAAAAAAATCTCAACTGACACACCAGGTTGATTTAGGAAGATAAAAACTAGGAAAATGTAAATATTTTAAATTCATGAGTTACAGTTTTAAGATGAATGTTAGTAAAATTCTAAAGTTGAACTACAAAGGACAAATGGATACTGCATGATTAAATTAATACTTGTATAATGATGCTCTGTTTTCATTATTGGAGAAAACCCATGCATTAAATCAGTAACAAACTGAAAAACTGATCACATTTTACTCTGATTAAGCCAACTACATGCGAAACGTAAATATTTTAAATAACTGCTAATATTACCCTCTTGTCTCACCTCATCATTTTCATTGCCACTTGAACTCTTCCTTGATGATTTATACTGAAAAATATTTAAAGCACATACTTTATTTTTCCTTGAACATATGAATTCTCTAACTAGTAAATTACATATGAGGTTAGTCACATTTTGGTACTTTTACTAAATTATCTGAATTATATATAAAAAGTAAATTATATGTAAAATATACAAATTAAACTGTTTAATTACAAATGAGTTTAAATAGTCCTACTACTTACTAATGGCTAACACAAACTGTACTTTCTATGTACAAGGCATTGTTCTAAGTCCATATATCAAGTAACATTTCCCTTCTAAACCAATTTATTTCCTATTCATTTAGGTTTGCGATCTGAGTGTTGTCTTAAATCTTCCTTTTTTCTTAATCCCTTATAAACAAAAATATCAAGTCAATTCTTTCTGTAATCTCTCTCAGACTTACTTCTTCTGAGTTCTCTCAACTACTATTCTATTCTAGGTGCCATTATCTCACACCTAGTCGTAATCTCACCATTCAAAAATGTCATCCATTTTTAAGAAACCTACTAATTTTAGGTTAAAAGATACTACATTAAATGTATATATTGACTATACAGTAATAGTGATAACAGCTAACACTTATACTACTGCTTACTATATGCCAGGCACTGGTTGAAGTGTGTTACATGTATTAATCCATTTAATCTTCTTAACAACCCTGAGGTAAACACTATCTATTTTATACTGAGGCAAGGGGTAACTTGCTTAATATCAAAAATGCTAGAATGTGAAAAAAGTGCTCATTTATAGGATCAAGAATCAAGGAAATACAGTATGACAACCACTAAAGTTCTTCTGATTCCTTCTCACCAGAAATAACTCATAACTCTTCTATTGAAGAAAACCTAACTTTCAGATTTTATACAAATTTCTCTGCCTGGCATTCAAAGTTCTATTTAATGGCCCCCTTTACTAATGCAGCTTTAGCTTTCACAAATCTTGAAAAAATAGATAACCTATCTGATAGCTCAACCACAAACTGGAGGATGAGCAGTGTTAGGGATTACAAATACAAGACCTAAATTCCTCCATTGTCTCTCCTGTGACTTATGACAAAGTGCTCTTTTTAGCTGATCCCAGACATAGCCTCAATATGTTTTCAACCCAATGGTTCAGATAGCCACTAAATGGAGTTGGTATGTGTGAATAAACATATTTGCCATCCTTAGGCATGATGTCCTTGATGGCACTTGTTCTTGTTCTATTCTACTTCAACAAAAGAATGACACTTGGACAGTGAACACCAGGACCCCAGGATGGCATCAGTCATACTAGTGAAGGAGATGAAACTCCTGGATGTCAAAAGAGGGGAGCTGCCCAAACTGGATGTTGATGCAGGATTTCACCCCTAAAGGCACTGTTGGAGCGTTTCAAAGAGGTTACTACCAGTATTACGAGTATGTCAATGTGAAGAAAGGGAGCATCACTAGGGTTTCTATGCTTACATATTTTTCAACTACTGCTTTTCTTACAAGGAACCCAAACATGAGCGGTTATCCAAGTACCACTGAAGAGGAAGATGCAGCCTGCATTCCTGACCATGACCTTCTTTGCCCCGATCTTTGCTGAATCCTTCTGAATCCTAATTGAGAATTAACACCTTATAGAAATGTCTGGTAGAGAAACAAACAAAAAATGAAATAAAAGAGTAACATTTTAGTGAAAAATAAGCTTTTATGAAGTGTGTACTCTGTGGCAAGTGCTGTTCAAAGTACTTTATATTATTTAACAATTCAATAGTTAAAACAATCCTGTGAAGGATGATCCCATTGAAATCATTTGAAGATTAAAAAAAATTGAGTTCAGCAAGATTAGGTAATTTGCCAAAGTCATTCAGTTAGTAGAAATCTAAGTAAGGACTGGAACCAAAGTGGTTTGATTTTTGAAGCCAAGACCCTTAACCACTGTACTATACTCTCATTCCTAAATCTTGAATGACTGAATTATTAGTAGGAATTTTCCAGGAATAAAAGAATGGGCATGCTCAGAAGAAGGAAAGCACAAAGGAATAAAAATGCTCAGCCTACACAGAAAACAAAGAGTAGCTAACGAAAGTGAATTGTGGCAGGTAATAAAACTTAGAGAAAGAGGTAAGGATGGCTATGAAGTTTTTAAAAAGTCCTAACTTTATGTTATTGATAATGGGGAGCCAATAAAGAATTTTAAGCCAGGTATTTCTCTAAGGACTGTGAAACTTGAGGAAGGGGAACCATTAAGAAATTATTACAATTGCCCAAACAAGAAAGAACGAGGGTTCCAACAAAAGAAAGGTCAGTAGATATGGAGAAGAGGTGATGAATCCGGGAAAGATGCATAATTAGCATCCTAGTGACCAATTAGTAAGGAGAAAGAAAGAGGGAAAGATCAAGGAGGACTGAGATATAGAGCTTAGGGGCCTGGGTGGATAATACCACTAACAACTAAAATACAGAATAGAGGGGAGGAGCAAGCTCAATGGTGGTGGGGCAGGAGGGGTAGACATATTGAATTTGAAATATATAGCATCCAGACAATTCGAAACACAGGTCTGGAGACCAGAAAATTAATTTATAAGATGTAAATTTAGACCCAGCAGAATATGAGACATCTGGAGTCAAAAAAGCTTCAGACAGAATAATAAAAGGGGATAAGATCCTGAGACCAAGTAGAAGAAAAGTCAGAAGAAAAGTTAGCCAGGAACATCAAAAAGAAAACATAAAAATCAGAGAAGGAAAATGAGGCAGAAACCAAGAAAGCAGTTTCAAGAAGAAAGATGTGGTCACCACTGTCAAATGCTACACTGGATTTTGCCTATAGTAGGTACGTGTTAGGCTCTAGTGAGGGGCTATTTCAATGGAGGTGAAAGCCAGACTGCAGTAGTGTAAGGAGTGATCAGAAACTGGAGACCTAGGAATGGCAAGTCTGGCCCGAGAAGAAAGCAAAGAGATAAGGCAACAGCTGAAAGGGAAATCAGAGATAATGGTAGAGGTCTGAGCACATTTATAAGATAGAAGGTAAAGAGATAGTAAGGACATAGAAAAGTGAGCAGATAATTGATAAAGAAACAGAGTATGATGCAGAAAAGAACTTAGATAATGAGACTTATATTACTGTCACTCAAATGCTATTCTAATTTAAAATATCCATTACACATGACAACTTAGAAAGATACTAAGTTTTGCATTACTGCACATATTTAATGGTCTTAAAATCCAAATCTAAATATATACATAGATTCTAAAATATTTCATAAGTTTAAGTTTTTACTAATTCAACTCAGCTGTGCTCAATTATTAGTCTGAATAACTTAAGTTTTATTATATATAAGTTCAAATAAAGGCCAATTCACAAACAAAAAGGTCAGTTCATCTCTGAAGCTTATATCACAAGAGAGACTAACTTGTGCACAAACTCTGACTTAGAACAACTCAGGTTATTTCACAAGCCCAATTGGCTTCCCTATTCCAGTATAAAATTAACCATGGTCAGAAAAAATACATAAAAATATTTTTCTCAGTATTCGTCTTTAAATTTAAAATACTGTACTATATTTACAAAATCAGATATGTAAGTTAAGAGTCATTATAATGTTTTATCACAAAAGTAATGGGAATACATTTGAAGACAAATATATATGGCATTTAAATAAATCAAATAATCCTTAAAATTAATTGGGTATAGTTAATCTAACGCTTTTTAACTTTTTATTTAGAAATCAATCATCAAATGCATTTAGAAATGTATGTGTTACCATTCTTATAAGAAATTAAAGCTGCGAATTTACACTGAACATTACCAATAAAAGGTTAGATTTTCATACTTTGTTGTATATCTTATTCAAATAATTAATATTAATTATTTATTATAACTATATTTGTATAATTATATTATATAATATAATAATAATTATAATTAATTAATAAAATAATAAATTTCTGTAAAAAATTTTAACACAGTAATGTATTTCCTGGAATACCTTTACATTGAGAAACACACTGATTTTATTTCAGCAACAATGACATTAAATTTTATTTACTAACAGTAATCTATGTAAGAGTGGCCGAAGTCTAAAAGGATTACTATAACTCTCCTAGAACGATTTACTTACTCATATAATCTGAGAATTCATCTTCTTACTCACATAACCTGGCTAATTATGTTGAAACATTTTTTACTTATTTTCAGGGGCTTACCTGAAAAACCTACTACCCAAAATCAGTCTTAGCAACTAAGAAGCTGGAGAGCTGAATTTCACACAAACACAGACACACAGAGAGACACACACGCACTTTCAATAAATCTTCTCAATAACAGCATCATGAATAATTTACCATAGGACACAAAGAAATCCCGTGGTTCAGGCATTTATATGTGTTAAGGTAAAGTTGCACAAAAGCTCTGTATGTTTCATAACAGCAAACTAAAGGAGCCATCACTGAGTGAGCTTAGTGATAATTCGATACATATCTCTAGAGTAGTATACTTTAACTATAAATCTAGATTAAGTTCAATACCGTATCTTATGAATAAGCCTTTTGATTCTTGAGAAATAAGTGATTAAGAGAAATTTTCTTTTTGAAAGAGACACTTCATAAAAATCGATATTTTAAATTATGAAAACACTGGCAAATCTGAGTAACAGTTTTGACTTCATTTAGAGAGTAGTACCTCAATTTTATAATTTTTTTTAACATCTTAGGAAAAAATTTTCTTATTCAATTTTTTTAGTGTCCTAATACTGACATCTTCTGACTGCTGAGGAGAACTACATATCTCCTGAACATTTCCCAGTGACTGAAGCTTACCTTTGCACCTACTTTATTAACCATAGAAGAAATCAACATTTGTTGAATGATGATTAAGACATTTTAATTTTATTTCATTTGCTCTCTTAGCAATTGATAAAATAGCAATATCATACAAGGTATACTTAGGCCATAAAAAATAAAATACTTAACAAATGATACTATTACATCAAAGAACCATTTTCAAAGGTTTACTGAGGCTTCTATTAAGACTTAATTGAGAAGTTTACTTGAGTTACAATAAAATATTTAAAAAACAATAAAACTGTATTTATGTGAAAGTGTTTGCTCCTCTGCTATTAGGCTATCCTCAGCAGGTCAGCAGGCAGCGCAGCGTAGGCTGTGGGTTCAGGTCTTGATTCAGGTGTTGATGAGCTAAGTGACCTGAAGCATATTACTGAGCCTCTCTGTGCCTTTATTCCCCTGTTAGATAGGAGTGATATTAATTGCACTTACTTCATAGAGTTGTTATGAAGATTAAATGAGTTGATATTTGTAAAGTACTTAGAATAGTACCTGGCACTTACTAAGTGCTATGTAAGTATTTTGATAAAGTCAGAATTTGTATGCTTTTTACTATACTATAGAGCAAATAAATACCAAAACTCTTTTATTAGTTAGAAATACCTAAATTTCTACAACATCATCAATCATCCAAGTTTTTTTTTATCTATTAACAAATTTCCTTTAGTGCCTTTGTTCAAATCCCCTAAGTGGGGACTTTAAATTAGTAAATGCCAGAATGTAAATATAACTGCAGATTTGTAAAGGGTACTGACCAGGGTTCTGCTTAGACTGTCCTTCCCTTTTCTATTTCTTTATTATCTCATATTGACCAGATAACATAAGGCTCATTAAAAGAATTCAGTAATTATTTGCTGAAGGAGTAAACTCATCACAGACTCACTAGACATATAACATTTTTGTTCTGGTCATACTACTTCCAAATATATGTTACACTACCATAATAAGGAAATAGATCAATGTGGATCGAGACTCACTTTTACCAAACTGAAAGAAGCATGAAATATGATCCTATTTATTGGTGATATAAACTTCAAATTACCTATAATTTAGCTTAGAACTATATATCAGATATGTTTATTATTAGATAAAACTAGGCTCTGGAAAACAGAAAAGGTTCATAAACACAACGAAGTTTGCTATTCATAGTACAGGAGCTTGTTGGAGCTTCTTGGCACTGTTCACTCGAGTCAGAAATTCGAATAACGAATTCTGACTCGTATTAAAGATTACTCCAATTCCAATGACTGGCTACTATAAACACAGCAGACCTTAACCACAAATAGACAACATTACAGTATTCACAAAGGTGTACACAATGAAATTTCACTAAAACCCTGCTAACTAGAAATTTGAGATAATTCAGATGGTCTGAACCTTTAATTTTAGCTAATAGACTATTCTAAGAAATATATTGAGGTAGTAAGAAAAGAAAATGGGGGAAAATGTTTTCAGGCATTTTTAGAACCATGTCAACAGCATTTATTTACAAAGAAACATTTAAATGCTAATTGTAAATATGAGTCAGTCCTTTACTGAAGCAAATCCAATGAAAGACCTTTTTGGGTAACTCTTTTAAAATATTATTACATATTGCTACAACTAGCAGTGTAGCAAATATTCACCTTTCTTGGAAAGTATCTGGCAAATCACAATTCACATTGATCTATTCACTCAATTATTTTGAATTATTGAAATTTTATGGAAAAGACTGGATCATATACCTTTATCACATGTGGGAAATCAAAATAAAATAACACATCCACTATATTTAACTAGTCACATTTTGTCGTATTAATGTAAAACAAAATGGATAAAATCAAAACTAATAATTACAAAGTAAATTTCAAAACTTAAGTACCTTGAAATATTCTTTTCTAATCTGTTTGCTCCGCCTCCTTTCTTCACTCTGCCAGATTATTGGTTGAGATTCTGGCCACTGTTGTTCATCTATTTGATCCTTCTGATTCTCTAAGGACTGTAATGAAATGATTCCTTTTAACTAAATAAATGACTACAAAATATTAGATATAATAGTAATTTAATTTCTTCTTACCTGCCATGTGAGGGGTGATAACGGTGAATTAACTTCATCTGCTGAGACACTAAAAAAATTAAAGATGTCTTAATATGTTAAAATATTTAGAACTACCTTTAGGTGTAAAATAACATTATAAAGTTATCTTTTTTTTTTAAACAGAAATCTAAAGAATTTACCAATGCTTATACTTTGAACTAATAACATAAAACTTAAACTTGACAAAAACCTAAGTTCCAAATAACTTATGTTCCTTAAAAAAACATCAAAATAGACTTATTTAATATCAGTCCATGCACAGGGCTACTCTAAGGACTTTTGTTACATTAAAGTCATTACCAAAAACTAAAAAAAGCAAACCTAACTTCTTTAGATGAATTTCTTTTGTCTAAAAGCCAAAGTGCTTAGGAGAGTAATTCTTTTCTGTCTACAGAACTACTGATTATGAGATAAGCCTCAAACCTTTCATTTTGACACACAGGGCTATAGTAGAAATTCTTTTCATCTAGTTTTTTATGTGGTAAGGTAGACAGCATACTGTTGTTAGGTGGCAGATTTGAACAAGGAGTTACTTTGGAAAAAACACAAACAAAATGCCTACTAGAGCTGCTATTTTTCAACACTGTTGTGGAACTTCTCTACGGTTTAGTAAGAAAAGAAGCAACATTTAAAAATTACAAGGAAACAAATTTTCAAAGTTTATAGAAAATATGACTGCCCAAGTGTAAAAAGCACCAAAAACCTATTAAGAGAGGTAGGGTTACCAGTTACAGAAAAATATATAAAATTTGACAGCTTCGCTACATATCAACTATAATAAATTATACCATATATTAGGAAAAATCTCATTTATAAAAGGAAGAAAAAGTTGAAAAAAGAAAACCTATTGGAAGAAACTTAACTAGACATGCACAAATCCTACATAAAAAAACTACAAATGTCTAGTAAAGTACTTGAATAGCTGGAAAGTTCTTGAGCAGAAATACTAAATATTATAGGCATAATTCTTCCTTCAAGATAACTGATAATGGAAATAAACTTTAATTTTTAAAAAATCCAAGAAGTTATTTTTGGACTTGTTTTAGAAACCTGATTTTAAAAGTTTCAAAGTTAATTTGGAAGAATGGATGACCAAGAAGAGAAAGGTTATATAATAAAGGGGACTTCCCTATTAGGAAATTACATATATTCTATTAAATTACAATAGTAAAATAGTAGTCACTCCAGAATCTATAGATTTTTCAGTGGAAGAAGAGTAGTTGACCACAAGTATAACAACTTATGATAACAATGAAATTTAGAATCACTGTGAAAATGATGAATTAAGTAACAAACAGTGTTGAGAAAACTGGTTAACCAACTGTAAAATACACACAGAAAGAAAGAAAAAGAAAGGAGGAGGAGAGGGAGTGAGCAAAAAAAATGAGAGAAGGAGGGAGGGAGGAAAAACACTAGAATTTAAATATAAGTAAAGATAAAATCACATAAGCATCTGAAAAACACGGGCAGTAATTTTTTAAATGTTGGAGTGGAGAGGACACATGGAAGAAACAATCAAAAGTAAACACTGATTAAGCACATAAAAGGTAAAAATTAGACTTTGCATCTGGCCAAGGTAGGATAACAGTGACCAGATATATACCCTGACTGAAAAACAAAAAGAATAGACAAAAATATATCAAATTATGCTTTCTGAGACTGATTATCAGGCAAAGAAAAAAAGATATTTATCCCATAGAGATGGGTAACAAACAAGGCAAACGCCACAAGTGAGTCAGGTTGCAGCAGGAAGAGAGTTTCTAGGGTACAGCCAAAGAGGGGGAACTAAGGCAGGTAAGGCAGAGCCAAGGGGGTACTGAGGAGGCAAAATTGGGAACCAGGGAGAAAAAGGCAGATGGAGTTAACAGGACAAAGTAACAAAGAAAAGAGCACTGAACAGAGAAAGAAATTTAAGAGCTTTACAGAGGCATCCTTCAAATTTTCAGCTGACTACTGATCACTGATCATACATGTAAGGAAACTACACTACACAAAAGAATGAATCACCAGAAAGATTAGGGAGAATAATTCTAAGAATCACAGAGGACTAAGTAGTACCATTTTCCATCAGCCAGACTGGAAAATCTGACAGTTCATGGGAAATCAGCTAGAGTACTAAGAAAGGTCTTGCCTCAGCAGGGTGGGCAAATTTGGCCCTAGACTAGATGCAGCACTGATTCCACATAACTAGTCATAAAACTGTGTCCCCAAAATATCAAATTATAGCCAAGTAATTTAACCACATCTCAGAACAAAGTTCAAGAAGATTTATAACAACATTATAATATCCAGCACCCAAGAAGGTAAAGTTTTCAATGTTAGGCATTCAATTAGTCAATGTTCAGGAAGCTAAATGAAAAAATTAAACATGTTAAGTACAGACATGATAGACATAAAATAGGTAAAAATTGAAGTTGAAGAAATAAAAAGTACAACATCTGAAATAAAAAAATAACCTGCATGAGATTAACTGCAGATTAGACATTTCATAAGAAATTATTAGTGAACATAAAGACATAGCAAATGAACTAGCAAAAATCCAATACAGCAAGAAAAATATTGAAGAAGAATGAATAAAAGCATCAATGATCTGTAGGAAACTTCAAGTGGCCTGATATGCACATCATTGGGGTTCCAGAAGAATAGGTTTGGTGATAGAAAAGATACTTAAAGAAATAAGGACCCCAAGGTGGAGGGGGGTGGGAAGAGATAGGCTTGGAGTTCAAGATTTGCAGATACTGACTGGTATATATAAAATATATAAAGAGTTTATGCTGTATAGCACAGAGAAGTATATTCAATATTGTGTAGTAGCTTACAGTGAAAAAGAATATGAAAATGAATATATGTATATTCACATATGGCTGAGGAATTGTGCTGTATACCAGAAATTTACACAACATTATATATTGACTATACCTCAAAAAAAAAAAAGAAACTAGAACAAGGAAAAAAAAAGAAATAAGGACCCTAAATTTACAAATTTCATCAAAACAATAAATCCACAAACTTGAGACGCTCAGTGAACTCTAAGCAAAATATAAGAAAACTACACCAAGATAGATCATAATCAAATTACTTACAAATAAATAATAAAGAGAAAATGTACAAATCAGCCAGAGAAAAAACACAATGAGTTTAGTGAATCACTGACAACAGAGTTCTCACAGGAAACAATGCAATCCAGAAGACAGTAGAAAAACATCTCTGAAGGTACCAAAAGAAAACAAAAATGTCAACCTAGAATTTTATACTAGCAAAGTATCTTTCAAAAATGAAGGTAAAAATAATGATTTTTTCAGACATACAAAAACTGAAAGGATTCCTCATCAGCAGACCAACAGTGAAAGTAATGCTAAAATATCTCTTTCTGGAAGAAGGAAAATGCTATACACGGAAATATAGAGCCATACAAAGGAACAAAGGGCAGTGGTGATGGTAACTAAGGAGGTAAAGGTAAAGGACATTATTCTGATCATTTAACTCTCTTTCAAGAAACAACTGACTACTTAACGCAAAAATAATAACAATGTAATATGGGGTTTTAAACAAACATAGAAGTAAAACGTATGGCAACAATACAACAAAGGCCAGAAGGGAAGAAACAGAAGTATACTCTTCTGTTGATACATAAAATGGCATAATAGCACTTCAAGGTAGACTACGATAAGTTAAATATTATACTTTAGACCCTAAAACAATCACTAACATAACAAAAAGTTATGACGAATAAGTCTACAAAGAAAATAAACAGGAACTTTAAAATATAATTCAAAAGACAGGAGGAAAAAGAGGAAAGATGGCTACAAAGAATGGATATGACAAAAACACAATAATGTGGTAGATTTAAATCCATTAATAACAATACTTTCATTAAATCTTAACAATCTTAACACTGAAATGAGAAGTCAGGTTGTCAGATTTGATAGAAAAGGAAGATGCTACCAAAATTTAACTACAAAAAACCCCACTTTCTTGATAAAGACACGAATAGGCTAAAAATAAAGGGAAGGAGAAAGATATATCATGTTAACACTCATCCAAAGAAAGCTGAGGTGACTATATAATATCAGAAAAGTACACTTCAGAGCAAAGAGTATTACCAGAAATATTTTAAAAGTCACTTTATAATGACAAAGGTATAAATTCACCAAGATGACATTACAATCCTAAATATTTATGTATCTAATAACAGCTTCAGAATATATGAAGGAAAAATGATGGAACTTTAAAGAGAAAGCTAAATCCACAATTAGTGTTGGAGATTTCAAATAGTCTTCTCTTAGTAACTGATAAAAATCAACACTGTAGTGTGCCCAGGGGGTGATGGGGTGATGAAGACAAACAATAAACAAATAAAGAAGTATATATTCAGAATGTCAGATGGTAAAAAGTACATATTTACAACGTCAGACAGTACTAAGTTCTGTGGAGAAAAATAAAGTAGGTTATGGGAAAAGGACAAAAGGAGTAGGGGAGGCACGCTCTTTTATATAAGTTGTTCAGGGAGCCTCTTGCTGATGAAGTGACATTTGAACAGAAATCTGAAGACAAAGGAATAAGCCATATGGTTATCTGGGAGGAAAATCATTCCAGGCAGAGGACAAAGCCTTGAGGGGATGGGAAATGCCTTGTGTACTGAGAGTCAACAAGGAGGCCAGTATAACTAGAGAACTAACCAGCAGGAAGAGTGAGGCAAGAGAGGAATACAGAAGGGAACTAAATAATGTAGAGATTCACAAGTCCTTAAAGGACTCTAGTTTTTATTCTGAAGGAGATGGGAGGTTAGTAGAGAATGCTGACATGATCTGACTTACATTCTAAAAATACCAATCTAATATTTTTTTGGAAAACAGACTAAAGGGAAGCAAGGACACAAAGGAGATCTGTTAGGAGGCTGCTAAAATAACTGAAGTAAGGGATTGTTTGGGCTAGGCTGGTAGGTGTGGAGGTGGTAAGATGTGATCAGATTCTGGGCATATTTTGAAGGTAGAGTCAAGAAGATTTGCTCAAGGGTTAGCTATGGGGTGTGAAAGAAAGTGACAAGTTAAGAGACTGAGGTTTTTGAGCCGAGCAACTAGAAGGATGGACATTTCCTAAAATGGTGAAAAATGCAGGAAGAACAGGTTTAGAGGTACAAGTAAGGAGATTAAGAGTGTGGTTCTGGAAGGTTAAGTTTCACATACCTATAATACATCCAAGTGGAGGTGCTGGGTAGGTAACAGGTAATGTAACTCTGCAGTGTATGTGTATACATGTACACACATGCAAATGTTCATGTACATTTATAGAGAAAAGCTTTAAAGGGAAAAACCAAAATACCAAGACTTGTCATCTGAGGAGCAGGATAACAGATAATGTTTACCTACTTTTTTCTTTGTGATAAAATTTTCCAATTTTTCAACAATAAAACTACATTATTCTTATAAACAGGAAAAAACTAAAAGATTTTTTGTTTTGTTTTTGAAGAAGAAATTGAGTGATTGTTCTGAAATGAGAAAAAGGTTCTGTGAAGGAAAAGCCAGGATTGGATATCATAGTTTTGAAGTTTGGGCCATTGGGGCTTCCTCAAGAGAATGTTAGGAACCTGGTAAGGAACCTTAAGATAGAAATGAAAGGAACTGAGAGGGAAAGTAATAACAGAAACTTGAAAGAAAACAAATATGTAAGATAATAGAATCAATATTCAAAAAGGGACAGAGTGGGTTAAATCCAGGTAAATGAAATTTGAGATAGATGAATGTTTCTAGATTTGGGTATGAAAAGTCATCAGATGCCTGAACTGAATCATAAAACTCTAAGTGAAAAGCGGAGAAAGAAAAGGCAATCCCAGCAGAGACACCAGGATACAGAACACAGAGATGTGAAACCATGTTGGAATAAAGAAAAGAAAACTGTTCCTAGGCGCAAAATGGAAGAACTTATGAGATGAGGTTCTCAAGCCAGGTTGACTGAAACTAACTTCAATCCTGTGGGTTAAGCCAAACATTTTAAGTTTTATTCTAAAAGTTAGAAAGAACTATTAGAAGGTAAGATAATAAACAGGAGTCACATAGTGCAGGCTTGTGTTTTAGAACCATCACTCTTACATCAGTATAGAAAACAGATTTAAAGATAGGCCAAACTGAAGAAAGGAGATATGTCTAGGGATTGTTATGGTAATCTAGGTGGAAAAGATGGGCCCCAAACCAACATAACTGCAATAGGAATGGAGAGGTTGGGATAAATGCAAACAATGTTAAGAAGCTGTAATTTTCTATGACTCAATGGATTGGGAAGGGTGCATAAGAGAAATGAATTTCCAATAATTCCAAAGTTGCTGACTTGGATGGCTATATAAATAGTGACACACTCACTCAGGCAAACTATACAGAAGAAATAGGTTAGGTTTGGGGAAAAGTAAGTTCAGTTTGGACTGTGAAGTAGTTAGGAAAAGACATCAGTGAAATGTGTGAATCTGGAGGAAGCAAAGTGTTCTTGTTATCATATGTTAAGACTTGAGGTTCTGGAGCTACACAAACTGGGTTTAAATTCTCACTGTACCACTTACTAGCTGTGTGATCTTGAACAAGCTATGGTAATTTCTGAGCCTCAGTTTCTCACCTATAAAATGGGGATGACAATAGTAACAACTTCATAGTATCAGGATTAAATGAAATAATACATCTAAACCACTAAGAGCAGTATACACATAACAAGCATTTAGCAAATGCTAATTCTCTGTGTATACTTCTGTACCCACATCCCAGCCTTAGACTTTTACACTTCCATAGGAATGACTTAGGAGTTGAGTCTGATGCAAATTTTCAAACCACCAAAAAGAATAAATGGAAACACTCAAGGTCTTCTAGTTCTCTGGAATTCATATATGTGGACTTAGACTATGTATTCACATAGAGGAATTCAGTAAAACCTAATTGAAAAGAAATTAAAAAGTGAACAATAACATAGAGAGTAAATATAATCAATGATGAAGAAACACACTATTCCTGACAGTAACAGTAATACAATAAATGTTCGCTACATGGATAAATGATTCTATTAACAACACAAAATGCAGGTATAAGCACAGAAAGATCAAATCAGCATTTTGGAATTTGTTCATATCAAAGGTCAATTTAACTTATCCTGTAACACATTACTTTAAGTTATCTGGTTATATTAAATTGATATCAAATATTCAATTAAAGCCCACATAGGAGAAAAGGGAACCCTTCTACACTGCTGGTGAGTAAGTTGGTGCAGCCACTGTGGAAAACAGTATGGAGGTTCCTTAAAAAACTAAAAAAATAGAGTTGCCACATGACCCTGCAGAGAAAATTCAAATTTGAACAGATACATGCACTGTAATGTTCATAGCAGCACTATTTATAATAGCCAAGATATGGATTCAACCTAAATGTATATTGATAGATGAATAAATAAAGAAGATGTGGTGTCTGTGTATACACACACACACACACACACACATATATATACATACAGTTGAATATTACTCAGCCATAAAAAAGAATAAAATAATGCCATTTGCAGCAACATGGATGGACCTAAAGATTATATACTAAGTAAAGTCAGTCAGATAGGGAAAGACAAATACTACATGATATCACTTACATGTGAAATCTAAAATATGATACAAATCAACTTATTTACAAAACAGAAACAGACTCACAGACATAGAAAACAAACTTCTGGTTACCAAAGGGGAAAGGTAGTGGGGTCATAAATTAGGAGTCTGGGATTAACATAAACAAACTACCATATATAAAACAGATCAACATGGTCCTACTATATAGTACATGGAAATATATTTTAATATCCTATAATAAACCATAATGGAAAAGAATATGAAAAAGAATATATATGTATAACTGAATTACTTTGCTGTGCATCAGAGACTAACACAAAATTATAAATCAACCATACTTCAATTAAAAAAAATAAAGCCCACATATAGGAACATCACTGTCAAAGGATCAACTCTCATTATAAAATATTAAATATAAGAACTAAGATATTTTATACCTCTTTTCACATTCCATGGTTTGTTTTGGCTTGTTTCTTGCGATAGAAGTTGAATGATTAAGAATCCTAGAAGCAAATCAACACATTAATTCCATAATATATTAAATAGAATAGTGTACACACATGATATAAAAGATCTCCATAATAAACTGCATCTGGTCCATGAAGATCTTTGCTAGAAAACAATATTTAAATATTATTTAGATCAGATGCCCATAAGCACACTGGCTATTATGAAGAAATGAAGCTCACCAACTCTTCCATGTATCTTCTTTTATAAACCTTTTCTCAAGGCTTGGATATCTTCTAACATGCTATTTCCCTGTGCATATCTAACTTTCGGCTGAGACAGAAGATAAAGAGATGTAGATTGTTTAGGTATCATCACAATTGATTTAGTTTTCCCAGCATAGCAAATGATAGGATCACACTGATGTAATAAATAATCTTTTTGCCAAAAGCCAAATAATAAACCTTAATTCGAAATGTAAAGCCAGTGCTAAAGCTCAACTCTTAAAAAAAAGTCCACAAGTTTATTAAACTTTTAATAACCAAATGAAACAGTATTTGAAGAAAACAAAAAAAAGAGAAAAATAAAGAATGATAAACCACTACTGCATGAGCAAACTATTTATCCACAATTTTATATAATTCTAAGTAGTAATCTCAAAATCATAAGTAATGAATTATAAACGATCTTTCTTTAATATAAGTAACTTACACATTTAAGAGTTCTTAATATTTATTTAGTATATAAATGTAACTTAATTTTCAATTTTAAAGTTTAGTTTTTTAAGGAGTAAAATATCTGCCTTTTACTCAAATTAGCGTTTTCAGATGTTAACTATCAAAAGAATATAGAGAAAACAAGGAATTTAAAATTAAAGCTACATATTGACTACTAAAATACATAATAAAATAAATATAAGCTGGCAATAACAAAAAGATGGTTAACATAAAGAAGCCAATTTGCGCTACTCCAGTTTCCTCACTAGCTTGGATTTAGTAGAGGCTACCAGAGGTCACAGTGAGGGGCAAAGGAAAAGTACCACAGGCAAAGCAGTATATTTTTGCACCAATTTTGAGGTTAATGACATCTTTATTCTTCTTTCTATGGGCAGGCACTAAAATTGTAGTGAATTCCCAAATGCAGAAGAATTTAGGTAATAAAATACCTAAGACTTTTAGGAAAAAATCCTTAAATAGTGATTTTTTTTTTTAAAAAGGAAGTAAATCCTAAGAGTTCTCATCAGAAGGGAAAAAAATTATTTCGTTAGCTCTGTATCTATGAGATGACAGATATTCACGAAACTTCTTGTGATAATCATTTCATGATATAGGTAAGTCATATCATTATACTGTACACCTTAAACTTATACCATGCCATATGTCAATTACATTTCAATAAAACTAGAGGAGAAAACAATTTTTTTAATTTAAAAAGGAGATGCGGCAGTGCAAACTATCCTGGGGGGAATGTCAGAATTATTCCCCAGGGAGGGGGGTCAAACTACAATGACCTTCACTATAGTAAATTCTCAATTCTCCCCACACCACACTCACTAGTGCTGTGATTACTGATGTGTATGAGTCATATAGGAGCACAAAAAAAAGTTGAGATCTACTTACCTATAAAATATATTTTATGTACTTGAAAATACTTCTACGTAAAATTTTGCTGTATACATTAATACTTAATGTTTTACTCTGTGATATTCAAAGTCAAAATAAATGCATTGTATCTAAATATCTTTTCTAGATTATTAACACATATCCCTAATCCAGGTACCAGTACTGTATTTTAAGTAAAAGACTAGTTAACTGCATCCACCTAGCCCCTTAATACTTAAGGCTTCCACAAACTCTAGATACCTTGATGCACGTCCTGCTGCTCTGGTCCTCTGGAAGAGTTTTTCACTGAATGACGCTCTATAACATAAAGGCTTCCGTCTGTATTCACATTTCACGTACATCAACCAAACCAAAAGATGGAAGAAGTAAGATGTTTTGGGAGAGGACAGGGAAGTCATTAGTAAAGCAAGCAGAAAAGGAAGAATGGATAGATTTTAAGGGTTGAGAAAACTACCTAATTAGTTATAACAAGCTAGAGGTTAACATGATGTTCCTCAAATCAGAATGTCCATATGATCAGAAAAAAAAAATCACATGAAAAGGTAACATACATAATGTCTGTAATCCTAAACCAAAATAATAAACTGCTCAAAATCTGATTTTGCTTTCCATGATCCTTAATTAATTATACTTCAATGTAACTTTTCATAATTAGTTTTTAAAATTTAGCTATATTACATGGTACTCTGAAGCATATCTCTCCATAATAAGTAAAAACTCTCAGGACACACCTAAAAGCAAATAAAATAATTATTAAAAGGAAAGACATAATAGAAAATACTATAGAATAAGTTAGCAGAAATGCACATGCAGTGTGAACCAGTCAACTGATAATCAAACAAATTTTAACATCTACTTATTAAGCCACATAATAAGAAAATTAATATAAGAAAGACCTGTAGCCACTTCTCTGATACTAAGCAGGGTTGGTAGAAATTTGAGGAATTGGCTAAATAATTCACAAAGTAAACATTATTTTAAAATAATGATTTTTTTAAGATAAAAGCTCTTAATTTCGTAAATTATAGTGAAGATAAAATTATGATTTGTGGAACAGCTATTTTAATATAGACAAGGTCACTGATTCAGGGGGACTTCAATACACTCAAACACAAGTAGAAAAAATCCAATATTTTGACAACAGGGATAAAGATTAGCTTCTAAAATCTTAACAATAAACTGTCAATATCAAGTAGCTTAATCTGTGTATCTCAGAAAAAGAAGGAGCAGTCTTCCAAACAACCAGGCTTCAGATTTTGAACACTTACAAGTTTACCTACTTGGTGGTTTATTTGCTGATCTCTTCTCCCACCCTTTTTGAGTCTTAATTCTGTGCAATATCCTCCTGTTACTTTCTTAGGATTGTTTCATCCACCAAGTACTAGCATAAACTTTCTTAAAGAATCAAAGATAATTTTAAAAGTAGTATGAACTAAACAAGTGTCAAAACTGCTCTAAGAAAATCATCACTGAATTCAACATAAGCAGTTTTTAAATTGTCTATAATTTTGGAGTACATGCACGGGTTCTTTTAGCTGAGAGCTAACTGCATTTTCCTTCGACTAGTAACGAGCTAAGAAACAGTTAAGTGGTTAAGTCTACAAAGTAGGAGTCTTAGGCAGTACTTCCTGATATACAAAGATAATCTTACCTCAAATAAACTATTTTAAACCAAGACTAAAAACAAACAAACAAAAACATTACAAGGATCATGTTAAAGCCTAAAAAGAAATGTTACAACTCCTGGTTGACTTGCAATCTTAAATAGCATTTCAGATTCTTCATTTATAAAGTTGGAATCTAAAGCACAATACAGTGTGAAAGGGAAAATCTACAACCAGAGAAGATATAAAAACTCAAATCCTCTAAGAAATATATCCTTATACAAGATTACTTTTTACTTTCTGGACTCACTTAAAGTTAAGTATTGTAACAGTAAACAATAAATGTTAATGATCTACATCTAAGAGATGTAAACAATAGCAACATAGTTTAGAAGGAAGGATGAGATCATTTAATGGAGAAAACAGTAGATTTAGCATTAAAAAATTCTGAGATCAGTTTAAGTTCAGCCATTAACAGAACTGCCTAGGGATCTAATTTAATCTGTCTATAGATTACAAATTTTAAAAGTAAAATGTGCTCCTTACTTTATGACCAGGTATCATAAATTTTAATGCCTTCAAAAATTACACATAATTACTACAACATTAATGTCACTGCATAGTAATACTTAATCCAAAAAGATCTTATATTTGTATGCACTAACATCTGAAAAGGAGGATGAAGAAGAGAAATAGTCAGAGAAAGACAGAAATTAATTTTGCATACATCTCAAAAAATAACAGAAGTTATGTAGAGGAAATATATTAACTAAATTAATGGTTCCAACTAGCTTTAAATTTGTTCTAATTTTCAAGCAATCAATTAATAAGTAACAGTATTACTGAGTACCTACTACGTACAAGGCAGTCCTAGATGCTGTTTTGCACTGATTACAAAACTATCACAAAAACAAGACCTATGAAACATCACTTGATGTTGTATCTAGGCTAGAAAGAATAATTTAAGTCAGAAGGCTAGATGGAAAACTAACACAATAGGGGAAAATTGAAAATATAGAAATGGTATACATGGCAATGTTAAAATCTAAAATTATGCACTCAAATGCTATTCTTAACACAATGAGTGAAATGGATATTTTGTGGGTTCTTATAAAATTAATATTCTCTGTCCTTATAAATGCAATTCTTTCACCTGACAGGTAGAGAAGATAGAAATTCAACTAATTTTTAAGCTACACAGAGTAGGTGGTGACTTGCTTATTCAAGCCTCTTAAACTATGGGGGCAATCAATACTTTGATTATACTGAAGGGGAAACACACACAACCTCATAAGTAGCCAATAAAAAAAAGGGGTCCATTAGAAATAAATCATAGGAAAAGATTAGAAGATAAACTTCACAGAGAAGGGTGACAGAAAATTATGGCAGAAGAAAAATGTGAACTGGGAATGAGGATACGTAAGATACAGAAGGGATAAAAATGAGTGATGTTTTCTAGTCTGGTTTTTAATTCTATAAATGCAGTGGCTGTGCGGGAAAAAAAGATGTTTTTTAGTAGTTAATCCCTTGATATAAATCTTAAGATGGTCCTATTTGTTTACTGTTTATTTGATAATATTTAAATACCCAGATTTTTTAAAATAGTGGCCACTAAAAACCACTCATTTGTCACTGGATAAGTTTTAATAGTAATTATTTTTCAAAGTCTCTTTAAACAAATGCCAGTATGCTTTTTCAAACTTCCCAAAACATGGTCATATGACCCATAAGCATTTATTGCTTTGAATAAGTAAGTAAAATACTTCTTATTTATCCATGTTAAATGCACCAAAATTATTCTTTTAATTCTCTCAAAACAAAAACATTTCACCTTCCTGATTATTTCAAAACTATAAATGTAGCACTCTCAGTACATAAAGATGGCAATAATAGCTAACTCTCAGTAGCGCAAAGAACTTTTTCTGTATTAAAAATGGACTTGCACTGATTTCATACTCATTAACATAATGTCCTCCTCATTGCCAATAACATGCATTTGGAGAAAGCCTAGCCAGGGGGAGCAATGCTCGCTGACCATGTTCACGTATAACTGAAAAATTGTGCACTACACTGGAATTTGACACAACATTGTAAAATGATTATAAATCAATAAAAAAGTTATTTAAAAAAAAGAAACGAAAGTTACCCTGTGACCTTCATATCAACATGATGATTTAATCAATCGTTACATATTTCAATTTAATTTTAAGGAGTTTATGTATATCCCAAATAATTCAGAATCTGATAAAAAGTACACTATATATTTAAGACATATACTTGGAAAAATGCTTATAAAATATCTAATGCTACTGTGAGCTAAGATGAATATCAACAATGATTATTATTTAGCACACAGGAATAAAAAAAAGACAGCCAAGCAATAATTAAATACAACGACTATGTGAATATAAAGTATTCTGCTAACTTTACATTTCTCCTCTAAGTGTTTCCTATTGTCTTTTAGTAGTTAGTTCCTTGAAATAGATCTTAAGATGGTCCTATTGTTTACTGTTTACTTCATAATCTTTAAAATACTCAGATTTAATGATTATAAAATTTGTCTATTTAAATCTCATTACTGAAAAAAATACCTGTTCTTCTGTTCTTGCTGCAATAACTGAGCGGCTATTTTCCTCAAATCAGTTACTTCCTTCAAATCATCATCCTCTTCCTCTGCAAATAAGTGTTCTTTTCCAAGTCTGAAAGGTGACACAAAGGTTATCCAAAAAGTAAGGCAGGTGATATTTTATGCCAGATTCAAGAAATAGAAACCATTTTTTATTTTTAACAGCATGTGAAAGCTAAAATCTTAATGTCCTTATATTTGAAACATTAAAGTGAGAAGCAAAGACTATTTAAGGAATATAAAAACATATCTAGCCTCTCTACTCAATAGGAAATGTAACATACTGGTTATATTAATATAATCAATGGCTAACAAAGTAATCTATATTACCATTTTGTAATTTCTGAAATGTGTAATGGTAAGAATAATTTAGCAATGCATATTCCCCAGTCTTGAGTATAATAAGGAGTGCAGTGCTGTATTTAGTCTATCTTTAGAAATAAACAGAAAATGTTATGAAAATTTCTCATTTTATCAAACTACTCTTCTTTTATCAGTTTATTCATTTTGATTTTTAAAATCTCTGTGTAAAATGTTTAAGTAGTGGAAATAAAAAATAGGTTTAGATAAGACTGGTAAATTTGCCAAAACAATATTCATTAAAATATATAATTTTTATCATTCAAAAAGAACAAAGGAATTTTAAAATTGTTCTGCAAACTCAAGTAATTTTATCCCAAAGGTATTTCATTTTAAAAACAGTATCAAACCTGAGACTATATCTTTACCATATCTTGCATGCCACTCATGGCTGATGAACTGTCCTCATGAGATAAGGTGAGAAAGTACGAGAAGAGTGAAATATGGAGTACAAGACAAAACATTCCATCTCCTTATGGGTACCAGAGATTAATTGATGACTCCTTAAAAAGTTACCAACAAGGTCATTTGGAGGAAGTACAATATGGAGAAAAGAGAAAACTTGGGGATAGGAGAGAGCTAGTTTCACACTCTTAGGTTCTAATGAACACTAGCTAAGTGGTTCTAGACAAGAAACTTTAGAGTCTCTGAGCTTCACCCTCCTCATCTATAAACATGTGGACAATATCTACCCTGCAGGATTTAGCGAAGGTTAAATAAGAAATATGGGAAAGCACGTAGCACAGATCCTGGTACAGAGGAGGTATCCAACAAATGCTCCTTCCTGCAGCTATGAAGCAACTTGAAGGAGAGACTGAAAAATGTGGTAGGTCATATTCCACCATTTCATTAGATAAATGATACAGAAAAGACCTAAAGTATAACTATTTTAATAGAGAAGTAAACACCCTTATAATTAACATAACCTGTCTGATGAAATGGAAAGTATATCAGACCAAAAGTCAGAATATCTGAGTACAGACATTTGAAACTCCAGGCCTCAGTTTCTTATTGGTCAAATTAGGCCAATACCATCTGTTTTAAAGAGTTGTTAAATAGCTCAAATGGGACAATGTATGGGAAGGTACAGTCTTCCTTGGTAATAATAACAGGGGACATTATTATTACATTTATGGGGGGAAAACAGCGTACATACTACACTCAGTTTACATGCTTACTATAATTTTTTTTAATTAGGGAATGCAGACAAATGAAATATTTACAAATTAACTATCTGAACTTAACAGGTAAATGAACAAAAAAAAATTCTTTCAAGTAGAAATATCTAATGAATATTCCAGGTATTAATAAGTGACATTTCAAATTAAGAATTCATGTGTGCTTACCTTTTTTCATCTCCCAATTCTTCATTTTTCTGAGATTTTTCAGGACCTTTTTCTTTTCCCTTATATAAAAAAAAAGTTATCATTTTAAATTGTATGGGTTACTTTTATGAGATTAAGAAGATACTATTAATATTTGTTCAAAGTTTTCTTTACCTTAAAGAAAGAGACAAATGATCCGATATGTGCATCTCCTTGCTCAGGAACTGCTACATCGTCTGTGTTGGGATCAATAAAATCATACACCTCCTGGTCTAAGTATAGATTAATTTTTATTAGAAAATATGAATAGTAAACAGTGTGCTCTGACACTGCAGTGCTTAGAAAAAATATATTTTCTCAATAAAAGAGTTGGCCAAAGATATTATTATTTTTCAAAGCCCATTTTTAATAAAATACTCATTTTTAATAAGGGCTATGAACATGAAATAAAAATACCAGACACCATATCAATTACCTTTCTGAGAATCAGGTTTACTTCCTATTGAGTGGCTGTCATTTCTTGATGGTTGCTCTCTATTTGATTCTGAGACTTGAGAATGAAGGCTGATTGTGTCGTCGTCTGATGGCTGAAAGGAATAAGCAAAAAGTAAAAACGAGGTATTTTAAATATATGATAAGAATTAAGTTGCTTTAATTTCACATATAAAGTATAGAATATCTGATTTAAATCTCCAGTTTTCAAATCAAAAATTAGTAATGATAAGGTTTACTGTTCTGCTTTTTAAAATGTACATGTCCTTTTTTTATTTGAAGTCATAAAATGCAATGATGATATTTTAAGCAAAATAAATGAAGTGTGTGCAAGTATCCATCTATTTCAAAGCTCTAATAAAATTTTAAAATAAAACAGATGAACAATAGAAAAGACTCACTTCCGTTGTAGATAATCGTTTCTCTCCATTATCACTTCCAATTCCAGAGTCAGGGCCATGATTTTTATTTGGATAAAAATCTTCCATACTATGGAAATACAAATTCTAATGGCAGTTAGGGTTTTCTTCTTAAATGGATAATACAGAATTGACCTAAAATTTCCCTAAATAACACAGAATATATACTTTTGATGCTTAAGATCCTTAAAGACATGAGAAGAAAAATATCAGATAATACATAATACTTTATTTGTGTCCTTCATATAAAACTTTTTCTTCATGTGCTCTGTTGTAAAAATTGTTAACAACAGCCTATTATTTCTCCTGAGAGATTCAGAAAAGCAGACATCCCTGCTAGAAAATCATCTTAATAAAGACCTTTCCATTTTTCTCATCAGTTTGACACATTTCACCATAGAATGCTGAAATATTTTTAAACTTTGATTCATACCGTTTCTTCTTCATTAGTTCTAAAAATATTTTCAGTTTTATAAATAATGCCCATTTAATAACTAAGAAGAGAAAAAAGGTAAAAAAAAAAGTCTACAAAGCACTGAATAAACAATTGTTTTGGTGTGAGGATAGAGCTGTCTTTGCAAATTTCTGAATTACAGTATGCCTCCCAGGTTGCAAAATATTTTTCCCTTTAATTTGCAAAATTACCTTATATTCAACTGACCACTGATTATGTGCCAGGAATTGGGCTAAGTGCTTTAAAGATACGTTATACATTCCTGGTGAAAACTCTAGCAGGTTATTGGTGCTTCCCCATCTTATAGAAGAGGAAACTGAGGCCAGAGGGGTTAAACAAATTGCCCATGCACTTGCAAATGGCAGTCTAAATTTGATCCCAAGATTATCTAGCACTAAAGTCCCTGATCTTAATCACTATGTTATACTTCTTCCCCAAATACTGATTTTATACTTTTCAGGAGTATATCAACAAAGTCAGGGAAGCTATTACCAAGTGTCAGGTACTACACTAAACTCCTGAGGTGAGATGTGATGAATTTTAAAATGTTTGGCTTCAAAGGGTTCTCAGCCCAGAGGGGAAGAGAGTATGTTTATATGTTTTGAAGAATATGACAAAGGTAAATATAAAGTGCTATTAGAAAAGAGAGATCAACTAATTTGCCTTGGTAAGGTTAGGAAAGGCCTCACCCAAGAAAGTGACATTTGAGATTAATCTGGAAGGATGAAAAGAGGCAATAATTGTTAGCATTTGTTAAGTGTCTACATTATGTTAGATATTGTGCCAGGTGCACCTCATATTTTATTTATAATCTTTACATTATACAATTTATGCATTATTATTTCCTTTTACAAATGAAAATAATAAAGCTTACAAAAGTTCACTTCTGACGGGGAAATTTTGTGATATTTACTGAATATCATTTATTGAACTAATTGCCAAGCATAGATTTAATTCTCACAACAAGCTTATGAAGTGGCTATTATTAACATTGAAATAAAGAAACAGGCTCAGAGGGATTAAATAACTTACACAGGGCCACAGAGGAATTACGAGGTTAAACCATGATTAGAATCAAAATCCATCTGACTCCACTGCACAATAATACACCCATGGGTAAGACATTGTGTTAAGTATCCCATATACATTATTTTGTTTAATCTTGACAGCATCCATATGATTATTTTCATTTTCACATATAAGAAAGCTGAGGGCCAGCGATGTGACACAAGGACATACAGTTATTAAGATTTGGAGAAGAGCTTCACAGGTATACTATGTCTGACTCCAAAAGCTGATGGTAAGCATACTTACTGTAATGCTTATCTATGTAGAATAAAGAGTTTACGAAGTAGTCAAGGCATGCAAGAGTATTCTAATAAGAACCATATAGCCAAGGACATGAGTGTGAAACTTGGAAGTACATATGAGAACTTTCTAAGTAATTCAATACTGGCTGTGGGTAAGATTAGCACACCCAAGAGCCAGCTCATAAATAAACTCTACTGACCTGCACTGTCCAGTACAGAAGCCACTGGCCATATATAGTCACTGAGCATTTAAAATGTAACTAGCCCAAAGTGAGACATGCTATAGATGTAAAATACACACTAGATTTCAAAGATTTAAAAGGAAGAAAACGAATATGAAATAACTCACTAATTTTTATATTTAATTATATGTTGAAATAACTTAATATATTGGGTTAAATAACAGGTATTATTAAAATCAATTTCACCTGTTTATTGCTTTTTTAATGGGTAGGAAAATTTTAAATTACTTATGTGGCTCATATTGCATTTCTATCGGACAGCACTGGTAGAGACCATCTCCAAAATACATATCAACTCTGTCCACTCCTTTTCATCTCACTGCAATAATGCTCAATCTCTTGGCAGTACCACAACAACTTAACTCTGTCCTTCTACTCTTGTTTACTTCCAATCTATTCTCTCTATAAGATCCAAAATAGTTTTTTTTAACATATTTCAAATCATGTTATTCCCCTGCTTATAACTGCCCAATGACTTTCTATTGTACTTTAAGTAAAACTCAACTCCTTATCACTAAGCCTCCAAAGACCCCACACGGACTTAAGCCATGACTACCTTTCCAAAATGAACTTGTACCACGATGCTGGCTTCCTTTCAGTTTTTTTTTTTTAACACACCAAGTTTCTTTCTAGCTTAAGGTTTTTGCACATGTCATTCATTCTGAAATGCTCTTCCCCTCCCTCTTTACACAGCAGGCTTTGCTCCTTTCAGATCCTGATTTAAAACCTCACCTTCCCAAAGACACATTCCCTGACCATACTTCTGAAACAATCCCCTTTCCTTCAAAGCATTCATCACAATTTGAAATTATACATGTGTGTGTGTGGTGTGTGTGTATTTTCTTGCTTTGTTTACTGACTGACTCCTCCTCTGCTGGGATGTGCGCTCCACGAGGGCCAAGACCAATGTGTATGCCATTCAACAAAACATACCCTGAACCTATCAGTAGACACTCAACTGATATTTGCGGAATAAATGAATGCCTAATATAATGAATGCTGTTACTAAAGTAAATTAATTTTTAAATAAATATAAAGCAGAGTAATAGAGATTAGTATATGAATTAAGTCTAATTTTTATAGAATTGCGTGGTCTACTATCATTCATAATATTAAACAAAATAATCTTTAGTAACTAAATTTAATGTTCAGATATTTAATTCTACTAAGGCAACAGAAATATTAAAAAAAAAGTCCTATTTGGGAATTCAACAACTTGTACTGTTAACAACAGTGCTTACTACACTGCCATTCCAAGTAGTCTAAACTATGTCATAAATACAATGGCAAGGCTTTAAATATTTTAAGCAGGAGCATAGTCTCCCTTTCTGTAGTCTCATCCAACTTCAAATTATTTTCCTTACTATTGGATGGAATTCTGTTTTCATAAAATCTTTCAGATCAACCTACATCTCAAAAGGATGAATTAAAAACAGAGCATTAAATCTAACATCTCAAAATCTCACAAGGAGAAAAACACCAGTATCATATAGAACACCAATGATAAATCGTTTTTGATCCAGACATAAAGAACATGAAGGTGAAAGGTAACCCCACATGTCTTGCTCTTCCACTAACCCCAGTTCAAAGTCAAATTCTACTTGTTATTACAAATGTACAATAGAGTGATCGCAGGACTGAATTAACAGTTGTCAAGTGCTGAGAAATTATAGTGTTTCTGCATTATAATGTCAAATGTTTACATTTTACTATTAAAAGCTTTAATAATACATTTTCTGAGAAAATTCCAAATTTATCCTAATATACCAGAAGTTCATTGTATGACGGTGATATTTCATTTCAGCCAATTACTGACTTTTTTATTTGTTTGTTTTTCAATTACTGATTTTAACGCTAGGCCAATCAGCCTAAATATATTCAGTACATTCAAGATCAATCAATATCTTTTATAGAAAGAGAAGGCATAATCATGATGAAATGAGACTGTCAGAATATTACATTACCTGTCTGTGAGAGGCTGGGAGGGCATTCTTTTACTCAATGATGGAAGATCCAGAGAATCTGGTTTCTTATCCATTCTACAACATGCTTGGATATTTAAGTATTTAAATATGTGTACTTTACCCTTTAAACATATCTGTCAATAAATAACAGAAAAAGATTTAATTATATAGGTCCAAATATAAATGTCATCTACCAATTTATTTTTACATTTTAATAATCTCTAATTATTCTGAGACACCACAATCACAATAGATACTTTGCATATTCAAATAACTTGTACTTCTGATTCCAGTTGAAAAATAACTGACAACACTGACACCAACTAAAATTCTACTACGGTCTCTGTTCTTATTAGAAAAAATAAGTTCATTTTTCTGTATTTCACTAAAGCATTTTTGTTAAAAGAACAATGTACAAACCACTAAACAATATAAAACTTATAATTCATGAAACTTGCCTTAAAAAAAAGCAAAGAGATAAAAAACAAAATAAATTTTAAAATAAAAAATAAATAAAAATGAACAAACAAACAAAAAACAAAAAGCCAAAAGAAATATATTCATTGTAGTGGTGAGAAAAGAAAAAAAAATCCATGTAATTCTTTAAAGTAATCTCATCATAACCACTAAGTCATTTGGTCTAAACACTAGAAGAAAGCTAATCAAAAGAATCTAAATACAGGAAAAATGAGTTTGTTCAAAGGTGTGACAGCAGGTCAGTTAGAATGAAACAATTTTTTGAACACTCAATTCAACTAAGATAATATCCTGAAAGTTATTTTCATTGGTGATAAAGAAAAGGATTAATGGGGAAAAAAATACTATGTGAAAGAAAATATTCTACATAAAAAAGATAGACAATGAGCAGTAGGGAAACAAAAAGCCAGCTTTCCAAAGGTTAACTGTAGTCACCGTGTTATCAAATAAATATTTCTTAAAAACTAGAATTAAAAATGTTTTATTTTATGGCCTCACATAACTGAGCAACACATACAAAAAGAATCAACAAAGAAAGCAGTAGGAAAAGTACATTAAAATGTAATTATCATCCCAGGTATAAAGAAGAATGTTTGTTAGCTAAATCTAATAGGTAGCAGATCTGATCTGACCATTAAAAAATTGCATTTAAAAGAAAAATTTAAAACTTTTGAGCTATTAGAATATAAATACATTACCAATTAAAATGTATCCTATTAAAACAATTATGGTTCATTACCGAATTAAATGCCGGTAAATTATTTTCTTTTGTAAACTTAATTTACATCATAATAATTCATGTATATAGTTTTAAAAATCAAAGAGAATTCTAAAACTGTTGACAAAAAGTTAATTCCCCCATTTCACCTCTTTCAATCTCTAAGACGTAGTCCCCATATTCAAATCTTTTACTTGGCTTCTGCTATATACCTTCCTGTTTATAAATAATATGCTTCAGGTGCTTTTTTAATTTTTCAATTATAGATTTTATTTATTGAGGTCTTACTAAGCAAGATGAGAACTTAGATTTCTCATATCACCACAACCACCATCCCATATCATTAACACCACCACTACCATCCTCCCATTGCCAATCCTCATCAACTCATATAAACATACTTCTCCTTCAGAAGCATAGCATAGTTGTTAGAGGATGGACTCTGGAGTCTGACTACCTTGGTTTGAAGCCACGGATGCTAGCCATGTGACCTTGGACAAGTCACTAAACATCTATGCCTCTGTTTCCTCCTACATAAAATGAGGTATAATGACAGTACTTGTTTATAGGGTTGTTATAAGAAAAGAGTTAATGCATAGTGCCTGGAGCATGGTAAGTGCTATATAAATCTTTGCTATTATTGTAAGTAGGCCATAATTTTTCATTAAATCAAAATCTCATATTTATAATATTATGACCAAGAAAATATTCACAGATGAACTACATAAGTTAGTGAGATTACATTTCTTTTCTCATGTAAGTTTTTGTTTTTCCTGAAGTGACTAATTGCCCCATTTTTCCCTTTGCATAATCTTCTGTATGCCCATTACTAATTCATTCCTGACTCTGACAGAACTGTAAAACATCTCTCTCCATATTGATAAACACATCATCTATCAGTTTCTTTCTTCTTTTTCTATTTTCTTTTTGGAGACAATCCCCCATTCCAAACTGACTGGTTGCTCTCTAGGTCTATGCATACCTGTCAATCTTGGACATGAAGAATTCTTCTTTCTTAATCGACTCCCTCATTCTCATATAGGACCCCTCTGCTAGCTTCCTAATTAGGGGTGCAGGAGGCTAAAATTTCTGAGAACTTGCATGTTTGAAACTGTCTTTTTCCTACCTTACATTTGACTGATAGTTTGAGTGTATAAAGTAGGAACTATTCCCTCAGTCTTTGACTGCATCATTCTAACAACTTCCAGCTTTCCACACTGCTACTGAGAAGTCATTCTGATCACCACTGCTATGAATGTGACCCATTTTGTTTCAATGGAAGCCTCTCAGTGCCTTGGTCTCTGCCTTTCATGTTAGAGATTATTTCTGCAATGTCTAGTGATCCGTGGCTGTCTGTTTATTTTCAAAAGTGAAACAATAAGAAGTCAAATGGAAGCTCTGTATGTGAGATGGAAGTTTATAATGAGCCTCACTGTCTAGTGATCAGACAGGGACTACACAGTTCATCAGGGGACTGCCAATGATCAGTGTATCTATAGGGTTTTTTCTCCTAGTTCAATCAACCAAGAGAGAAATCCACCAATCCCGCTTGAGGTATATAAGACAGGCTGCAAGCACTCTGGAAGCCAAGCAAGAGAAGTCTACTGAAGGGTCCCAACATTCAGTGTGTACGCATTCAGTTTTCAGTATGGGATCTCACACCTGCCCATAACTATACCTGGAGTCCTCGACTCTGGCTGAGTCTCTCTACAGCTATGCTGTTCAATACAGTAGCCACTAGCTACATGTGGCTATTTCAATTTAAATTTATCCTAAATAAAACTAAAACTTCAATTCTTCAGTCACACTATATACTTTCAAGTACTCAATAGCCACCTGTGGCTACCATAGTGGACAGTGAAGATACAGAACATTTTCATCACCACAGAAAGTGCTAGCAGACAGCGCTACTTTAGAGTAAACTCCAGGCGTATGCTGAGGTAAGGAGCAATACTCATTTGGCTGCTAAACTGAAGAAAGGAATCTGAGAAAATCTACCTACTTCTCAGAGTCAACCCTAGGCTTCTGCTAAGGCAAGTGAGGGGAAGCCATGCGGCTGCAGAGCTAAGGGCAAGAATCTGAGAGTGTAAATCTTATACCTGTAA